TGTCTCCCGTCCCAGAAAGCGCTAAGCTACTGTGATTATATAGCGCTTAGAAGGGATGCGAGAACAAGGAGTTGGGATAGGCCAACGAATGGTGCCCAACCTCTTGGACCGCTGGGATCGAACGCCGATCTACAAGAAGCCAGGCCGTGGGCCTGACCAGTCCAAATTGCTGAAAAAAACAATAATAATAGAACTAGATCGAGGTGTTGACCAGACCACACACTAGAAGGTGAAGGGACGACGACGTTTCGGTCCGTCCTGGACCATTCTCAAGTCGATTGTGGCTGGTGTATCGAAGTACACCATAGATCGAGGTGGCTGGTGTATCGAAGTATACACCGTACTGTTACTACAACTCCTTCCAGAATACTAACACCAGTAATACCACCTCACACCCGGGTAAACCTTCCCTCTGCATCAACACACCAATCAGTTTCAACGATCGTTTCATCCAAAATGGTGGAACTTGTTTTGTGAAGAGGTTGGCAACCCTAAAAGATGCCCTCACTTCAACAGTTCAAGCTGCATGTGAATGAATGGCTCAGAGCAGGGAACAGTAGCCGAGATAAGTGCAGTGTACCAGCACGGCCAGAGATTACAGCAGGGTGCAGGGCTGGTGGCTCGGCCTCGCTACAACCACGCTACCACACCTCATCTCTAAATAAATATAATGTCACTAAATATTGTTATACTAGTTAATTAAATAGTTTACAATTGTAAATAATGATGTTTTAGATTTAGCTACTCGGTGGGAGCCGGTCGGCCGAGCGGACAGCACGCTGGTCTTGTGATCCTGTGGTCCCGGGTTCGATCCCGGGCGCCGGCGAGAAACAATGGGCAGAGTTTCTTTCACCCTATGCCCCTGTTACCTAGCAGTAAAATAGGTACCAGGGTGTTAGTCAGCTGTCACGGGCTGCTTCCTGGGGGTGGAGGCCTGGTCGAGGACCGGGCCGCGGGGACACTAAAAAAGCCCCGAAATCATCTCAAGATAACCTCAAGAAAGTAAACTGTGTATGTACGTAGACAAGCAAAGTTTACCTCATATACCCCTGTGTGTGTATCGTTTGTTGTTGTTGTTATAGATTAAGCTACTCGGAACAAGTTCCAAGTAGCACGGGCTATGGTGAGCCCGTAGTGGACTTACCTGGCACAGGAGCGGTGCTGTGTGTGTGTGTGAATCGTTATCTCTAATAATACCAATACTAACAATACTGAGGTATTGCGTGTGTGTGTGTGTCGGTGCAACAGGGGCATTATGCTGCCATTTAAACCGGAAACCCAGACACGGTTGAGGCCCTGGTGGATGTTATGGTAATATCCCCGTCCTACATACGTGAACTAAAAGTTGTATACAGTTTACCAACACATGTAGTCGTCTGCCAGTTATGCTGCATTTGACCTGTTTACTCTCTTGCCTCTTACGTACATTATATTCTGTCATCCAGAGGTTTGCAGGTGTGAGCTTTATGCAGAATAACTGTAGCATCAAAAAAACACAAACAAACAACACACATCTAATATAAACGGGTGTTTAACCGGGGAATCTAATCTATATGTAATACCCCTAAGAACGGAAGGACAGTCTACGAACTTAAACATGTCTAATTATATATTGAACTTTAATATATAATAATATTAATTTATATATATATATATATGAGAAAAACCTATTTTTAATACACAGTAGATTAAAATTGGCATGTATGGGTCTTTGGGGAACGGAGCCTGGCCATCAGTCAATGAGGAGGGCTGCATTTGTGACGTGCACAACGTACCAGCGACTCGAGCAATATATATACCGATCCTTTTTACAATTCTTACAAGAAAACTATTCATCTCTAGCTTAAATCTAGACTTATAGCCTAGAAAATGTATATATGCTGGTTAGCATTGTAAATGTGTGGCAACGTCTGTGGTAGAAAAAAACTTATAGCCTGTTATTTTGAAAACTATTGAATAATAGGTTACGTCATTAATTAATAACATTCATTCGTTTATACACTTATTATATTGTATATTCGTCTGTGCCTCTTCACAGTGCCTGGAATTAGTCATTAGTTTCTGCTTGTTCTCAGCGCATACCTTGAGGTGCTTCCGGGGCTTAGCGTCCCCGCGGCCCGGTCGTCGACCAGGCCTCCTGGTTACACATTAATACATGTGTAACCTAACTGTGGTCTTGCTATCGGAGATAAAGCTGATATTCCCGCTGGGTTTGAATTACGTATCAGTGGTAAATTTCAATTCATAGGCAAAATTGTAGAGTACCCAATCAAAGGTCTTATTTGAGTCCAGAGAAATAACGTTGTGTTCTTTGTCATTGACTTTAGTGAGACGTATTTTGACAATTTGATCGCAAAACATTATCTGATATTGACCAGACCACATACTAAAAAGTGAAGGGACGACGACGTTTCTGTCCGTCTTGGGCCATTCTCAAGTCGATTGTCGATTCGATTGACCATTCTCCACAATCGACTTGAGAATGATCCAGGACGGACCGAAACGTCGTCGTCCCTTCACCTTCTAGTGTGTGGTCTGGTCAACATACTTCACCCACGTTATTGTGACTCATCGCCTGAATTATCTGATATTATCCCTCACAGTATTTTGGTTAACTTGGGGGGCATAATCCTCATCAATCTAGGCTGCAGTGTTTACGGGCTCACCATAGCCCGTGCTACATGGACATTTCGTTCCGAGTATCTGAATCTAAAATAACAACAACGAGGCTGCAACAAATATGAACACAACATAAAACTCGGAGCAGCGAAAACAACTTTTATACTTGTTTATAAATTCTATTAGAACAGAATGTGGTAAATCTCAGTTAGGGAAGAGAGATGTATATTTTACGGAAGAGGTTAACTGGGTAATATAATATAGACATACGAGTGTGTGTTGGTATTAATGCATGGAGGGAGCTGCCTCGCGTGGGTCAGTAGGGTCTCTATTGTTTACTTTATTCTTATGTGTTTATGTAGGAGTCGTGTACAAGTGCAACACTGCCATAGAGCGCCAGTGAAACAAATATGAACAGTAAAACATACACGGTAACTCCTGCTTATATCCCATAAACAGATTATTGAAACAAATTTCAAACCGCAAGTCAAAATCTGACGTGTAACCGCCGTTCAGTTACGGCGTTGACATTTATTCAACTTTATTCCTTTTAATCGCGTTTCAACTTTACTTCTGTCTTAATGTAATTATTTTTTGTTAATTTGCTGCGAATGTTAAAAAATGACGCAACATTTATTTATATCTAAAAATTTGACTTGCGAGATTTAGTATCGAGTCATAAGATTTAGTGGTGTGACTTGTACTCACCTAATTGTGCTTGCGGGGGTTGAGCTTTGGCTCTTTGGTCCCGCCTCTCAACTGTCAATCAACTGGTGTACAGATTCCTGAGCCTACTGGGCTCTATCATATCTACATTTGAAACTGTGTATGGAGTCAGCCTCCACCACATCACTTCCTAGTGCATTCCATTTATTAACTACTCTGACACTGAAAAAATCTTTCTAACGTCTCTGTGGCTCATCTGGGTACTAAGTTTCCACCTGTGTCCCCTTGTTCGTGTCCCACCCGTGCTGAAGAGTTTGTCTTTGTCCACCCTGTCAATTCCCCTGAGAATTTTGTAGGTGGTTATCATGTCTCCCCTTACTCTTCTGTTTTCCAGGAATGTGAGGTTGTGTGTTGGTATTAATGCAGGAGCGTGTTAGGAATGAGAACTGCTTTGGGTATAGATATAAGCTGGATCACGCCCACCTTGCTCTCTCTTCACCATGGGATAAACACACTCACCCCCGCTACCCAGGCTGACCAATAGCTCCATGGTGAACACGGGAGACATCTCCCGTCACGCAGGGTGCAGTCGCACCTCCACAGATCTCCAGTATCAGCTCTTGATACTGGTAATGGCTCAAAAGGGCCACCACTTACGGGCTATTCATGCCCGTGCCACCTTTTGAGTGGTTTAATCTTCATCAATCAATCCATCAATCCATGGTGAAGCTCTGGCTTCACCATGGAGCACACACGAACATTGTTATATTCTGGTTAGCATTGTAACGTATTTTCCACGGTTGTGATATAAAGCATCAGTCATTGTACTCATACCTTAAGCTAAGTTAATGTAATAAATAATAAATCAAATACATTTATAATGTATTTGTAATAAATCAATACATTTATAATATGAACACGTTTGTGGCAAATTAAAACTGTAGTTATCTACAATTGTAAATGCCTTAGTCAATAGACCGTTGTGATTCAGTTTCTGAATCCATTTTTTCGCCTTATAAATTAAGGTAACCTAACCAAAACTCTGAATAGACTGTCGATAAATGTATTATGAAACTGTGTATTTATATCATGAGGACTGTAACTTGCTTGGGTAAGGGAATATAGCAGTTCAGTTCCTGTGCCAGCTATCTGAAGCGCTTTCTGTTCCCGCTCACAGAATGATTGTTGTTGTTGTTTTAGATTTAGCTACTCGGAAACGAAGTGTCCATGTAGCACGGGCTATGGTGATCCCGTAAAGGCACACAGAATGGGTATAGGGTGCATAATAAATGAGCTAAACCTAAGTGGCCGAGAAGCAAAAGATGAGTCGTAGGTCATCATCGTGTAGTCACTAAGCCCTGATGAAGTCATGCTTCACAAGAGCCTCCACAACTGACATTAAAACCTGTCACCACTTCGGGAAACTGACTGGCTGTTAGCCCGCTTAACGCACATTATTGTTACCCAAAATACTTGTTCTGCTTGTTGCCTCGTGGTAGGTAATTATAAAAAAGGGTTAATTATTAGTTCTAATTCAGACACGATTATCAGTACTAACTCTTATCAATTTATTAATGTATAATTGGGCTGGATTACAAGAAACGTCGGGCGTCATCGAGCGCTAACTAGTGCGGGAGTTGTGACTCACGTCCTGGGGTCTAGCTAATATGGATGCCGAGTGACGTGTGTGTAAGCAGCAACATTTTCCTGTGTTGTAGTGTGAACCCGCGATGTGTTGGCCCTCCCCTCTGGCGGTGGCACCCCGGGGCCAGGCTGTGTGTGCCGCCTCCCCTCAGTTGGTCCACAGGCGTGCTTGGGGCAGCACGCGCTCGCTCCTCAGGACACTCTTTAACGAGGCGTGTGTAGGCGGAGCCTCGTGTGTGTGTGTGGTGGATCCTCACTCAGTGCTTTCCACGGATAATGTGTGTAGCTTGCTCCTAAGGTCAGAGCGAGTTGGAACTTGGAAGTGCTAGGTTTAACTTGGAGTCTGTGTGATTTAGACTCGGCCTATAACTAACGCTAGGTTTGTGATGCTCAATTATCTGGTGGACATAACCGCGCAGAAAAACAACATGAAACTACCAGTACTTGTGTTGTTAGTCATATTCCGTCGACAAGATGTAATCACCAGTGGTATGGTGATGTAACGTTTGTCAACACCCAACTGTGATGATGCTTGTTAGTTGCATGACCAGTTCGTGGTGTGTTAATTACATGCAAGGATTATCGCGTACCAAACTAAAAAACATGTTATGATCATCACTGAGATTTTTAAAAAGTAGTTAGAATGTTTTTACGTGTGTAAAGTGAAGGCAACGGAACAGTGGTGACCTGTTGGGCTGAGAAACTACGACAAATGGTGCACCTTACCGGCTGGAGGTTTGGTGCTGTCAATTTCAAGGTGAGTCATTATTCCTAGTGTTAACATGTTATATTCAGATACACAGGTAAATCTTTGCTCATCAAACTAGCATCGACGGTAGGCACACAAGTTCCTCAAATAATTTGAAGGGATGACAATGAGGATAATTATAATTTTTAGCATTAGTCCGGTAGAAAATGAGTGTTGTGGTCGTCTTATGTATGACCCTCTGTCCTGCGTGACAGTGAATACTAGCATTATCCTCAATTTAATAAGACTATCAAAATCCTCAGATTAGGCAAAATTGTAATTAATTTTGTCAATAAAAATGTTAATAATAATAATGTGGTCAGCAGGACACGCACCAGCTCCGTTCATAAGAACATTGAAGCATATGTAGGATCCCACTACGGGTTCACCATAGCCCGTGCTATTTGGAACTTGTTCAGAGTAGCTGAATCTATAACAACAACATATCTAGGATATTTGGTTACAACTGCGGCCCAGTTGGTGAGTAGCCAACACTGGGAGCGGGGGCGGGGCCAGCCAGGCACTGGTCACAACAGTCTGTGATAAGCATCGACCCGCTGAATTATCGTGAAACCTTATCAGTGGTAACACTGTGCCAGGCACCAGTAGTGTGTATTATATACATTCACCCAGATAAAAGCTACAGTGGAGAATGGGGGCGATCTGCGTACATAAAATTTATTTGTAAAATTAAAATATAAACGCTGCGGAATCTTAATTTTCATGCATATTAGCGATTGTGTTGATTGTGTTGACGCATTTACAACGTTGTGGTTCGAGGACGGGCTGTCGTATACGTTGTACGTGTGGTGAAACATTTACAGAAATTCGAACAGAGGACGTAAAGGTCCACTGTTCGAGAAAAGTTCTAACTTCATCAGCCGAGTCTTGTGTAAATTGTTTTCCATTCCTAAAACTGATTAACGATCATCGGCCACAAGTTAGTTAGGGTTGGCCATGACCGCACGCTGTAATGTTAGCCTAGCCTAACCGAAAAAATACCTCTGTGCATAAAATGTTGCAAACTCAAATTAATTTTTATTCATAAACGGTTACACACTTAAAATTGGAAAATTTTACATAACATTAGTATATTAATTACGTAAGTCGCAATAAGTTTACCATGTAATTATCGTTATCAGAATCAAACTTTAGTCGTAGCAACTTACACAAATTACAATAATGACACGTACAGGTGTATCGCAAACTAATCAAACGTATTTTATTGGCATAAAGTTAGTGACAGCTTACAGTTTGAAAGGTGATATTGACAAAAACCTGTGGTTTACCGTTAGAGTGGCAAGACATATTGACATAATTTATATCACCGAATTAAGATAAGACATTTAGAAGTAGAATCTGATATATCACCGAATTAAGATAAGACATTTAGAAGTAGAATCTGATATCAAGTAATCCTGTATCGTGAAATTATAAACCTTTGCCCACCCTCAGCATTCCATATTAACAGATTATGCGGGTAGCCTAGCTCAAAATCACTCCATGCACTCGGCTCATAGACCGTAGGTCTCACTTCAATGCGACTTAAAGTGACTTATGATTAAGCCGTCTTTGTGACAGTAGTTCCCTCATTTTCAGCCGGGGGTCTCCTTGCTGACTAGTTTATTTTATCCTGTAGATATGCTACTGTAGACAGTATAGACAAGAGAACCAACACTCAGTTTTAATTCAAACTTGACCCAGCTTTTACATTTTCTCAAAATCCTTCGGTGTTGCCTAGTGAATCATGTAGTGTTGGACGCTATAGTTCACTACATTGCGTGTAAGGTAGGTAGGTACACTGATTGATTGATTGATGAAGATTAAGCCACCCAAAAGGTGGCACGGGCATGAATAGCCCGTAAGTGGTGGCCCTTTTGAGCCATTACCAATATCAAGAGCTGATACTGAAGATTTGTGAAGGTGCAACTGCACCCTGCGTGACGGGAGATGTCTCCCGTGAGGTACACTGCTTGCTCGGTTTCTTAAATTGAAATTGAAATAAGTTTATTGAGGTAAAATACACACAAAGGGATGAGGTAGCTCAAGCTATTCTCACCCCGTTCAGTACAACGTGTTAATACATACATAGACACACATCACAAACAATAAACATATTAGGTTTCTTAATTTAAATAGTACGTTACTTCGTTATTACAGACCCCACAGGTAGTGGTGGTGGGGGGTGGCAGGTGTTCTAGCACCCACCTTCACCCAGTGAGACCAGGGGGTAGTTGGGGGGGAGGAGTTGTCGCACCCACCTTCACCTAATGACAGACACAGAGGTGGTATGTGGCGTCTGTCCTCTACCCCCACACGCCCGCTGCGGGTGTGGCTTCACACACTTCAACTCCTTACACTTACACACCAGTAACGGCAGAAGCACTTTACGAAGAATTAATTAAGGAGATAGACTCGTTTAACACATTAAATAAAAGCACACCCAGTACAAAAAGAAAATCCCACTAGGAAAGAAAATTCTAGCCAAGATTCTAAAAGGTGAACATTAACAATGGGAAGACCTCACAGGGAACTGAGTACGAATGGAAGGACAGAGGAAGGGAAGGATACATTATTGACAGTTGCTAGGCTGTGTGTGGGGAACAAAAAAGAAACTACGAATAAGTATTGGCAGGAGCTTGCAGAGAAGGTTTAGAACAATTGACAGGAGCTTGCAGAGAAGGTTTAGAACAATTGGCAGGAGCTTGCAGAGAAGGTTTAGAACAATTGGCAGGAGCTTGCAGAGAAGGTTTAGAACAACAAACTTGAAATTTGTCAAGACGTAAATATAGTAACAGGTAAAAAGCATCATTTTATTGCGCATCCTCACCCACAAGAATTTGCACACGATCTGTAGATAAATTACAATTAGTTCATTGCCGGCTATAACGAGTCATTAGAGTCTTGTTAAGACCTAAGGCGGAACTTGATACTTACAACAGGAAACAATGAAGTCACTTGCATAGACATTACCCGGGATGAAGTATTAATGGCAATTAAAGGTTAGGAAATCCACAGATGCTGGTAGGATGAACTAACTTACGAAGTATTTAACTAGCTGTTAAGGAGAAAACCCCATTATTAGACCTATTTAATATTATATAAGGGGTAGGATTCACAGTAAATGAGAAAAAACTCATTATCATCCTCAGCAAGTCCTGAACTAAATAATTTATACACATTATACTGTAAACAGAGGGCTCAGGATAGAACCTTGAAGCACCCCTTACAACGGTTTCCCACCCAAATCCAACTTAAGATAGCATCCCCAATACCGTGAACCTGTTATCTTTTTAATCAGTCTTTCGTGAGGCACTGTATCAAAAGCTTTGCTAAAGTCAAGGTACACAACGTTATAAACTATCAACTGCCTCAATTGTGTTGGAATAGAATGAGCAAATTTGTCAAACTTGAGCGGCCCTTAGTAAAACCATGTTGTGAATAATTTATTAATCTGTTTTTCAAGATATAGACGAATTGCTTTTGCATTTATTGATCCAAGCAATTTTCCGACAATAAACGTTAAGCTAATTGACAGATTATTCGATGCAAGCGGTCTGTTGCTTTTATTATAAATTGGCATCCCATTAGCAGCCCTTCAAGAATCCGGTACTCAAGTTCAAGTATGTTTATTGAGACAAGGAAAAAATACATCTCAAAGATCCCTTTGAGTAGCTTCGGCTATTTCTACCCCCCAGTACTCCGGTACTCTGCCTGACTAATGATTTATTGAAAAAGCTAGAGAAGCGCTAGTAGAAGACCTCCTAGAACCCCATCAAGCAGGTATAAGGGCTCATAGATTGATTGATTGATGAAGATTAAGCCACCCAAAAGGTGGCACGGGCATGAATAGCCCGTAAGTGGTGGCCCTTTTGAGCCATTACCAGTATCAATAGATGATACTGGAGATCTGAGGAGGTGCGACTGCACCCTGCGTGAAGGGCTCATAACGCTCTTTGCGTTCTTTAAGCATCCTGCAAACACTTCGTCTGGTCCTGGGGATTTGTTTGGCTTGAGTTTTTCTCATTTTTTTAATAACGCCACTCCCTGGAAACCACTGAACTAGTCAACGTGTTCTCTTCACCACCAATATAGACTTGTTCGGTTGAAGGCATAATGTTGAGGTCTTCTTTAGTAAACACAGAATCAAAATATTTACAATACTCATCTTTGTCAATATCAGTTATTTGACCCGTCTCAGTAATGGGCCTGTCTTTTCCCTAATCTTTGTTCGATATAACTGAAAAACCTTTTATGATTTGTTTTTGCTTGCCCTGCTATACGAACTTCATAGTTTCTTTTAGCCTTCTTTTTTTTTAACATTTCTAACTAGGTTGACAACTTCTTGTTCTAGATTGACTTTACCATTCTTAATCTTTTGTACAAAACTTTGTTACATATAATTTTCTTTAGACTAGTCATGATTCATTTGGGGTCATTATTTTTTTATCTAATCAATTTCTGAGGTATACTACGTTCCCGGGCTTTGCTAAAAACATTTTTTATAGAAGTTAGAATTTTGAATCTACATAGCAATCCTTTGTTACGTCACCCATCGCCTTCAAAGACAGGCCCTCCAATTCCTTCCTCCCCCTCCCCTCCCTTTGGTCACCAGAGGTATCCTTGGCCGCGCACACGTCATTATCGCCTAGGGGGCTAGCGTCAGAGGGATGGGGGGGTTGCATTTATTACATTGCCCCTCCCAAAAATAGGACCCAACAGCCGACCCCCTCATCCAAAAAAGCGTGCGAGAGCGTGTAGATTTCAACAAAATTGTGAAATCCTACGGCCGTCCTCTCCACATGTGGTAGTGTGTGAAAGGACAAATTTATTGCGCTCGATACAACCGATCCATATTAACGAGCTTTGTTTACATAAAATAGTTTTACATATTCTCTACCGAGGGATTTATCCTCTGGTCCCTCTACGCTACAACTACACTCCTTCACATTCATCATACAACCACTCCCCTACAACTACACCCCTTCACATTCATCATACAACCACTCCCCTCCAACTATTCACCAACCCTTGTCAATTTCCTCAAGGTCATGCATGAGTTTTACTTGATAGGCTAGTGTTACTTAATAGGCTACAACATATGTTTTAAAGCACATAATATAAATATATTTATGACTTAGGTGATGGCATTCAGTATGTCACTGAACTGAATTAAACTTTTTAATCGTTCATGTAATCCGTTGTTTTGCAAACAAAATGTAATTTAATTGGTGGTGTTGAGTTAGCGTGAGGCGGCCGCTTCTTGTTCCATAGTCAGCCGTGTTCCGTGTTCCAATTGGTGTTTCTTATAACATCGTTGGTTAGTGTGGTTTGTATTGTTTTGTGGTCTGGTGAGTGTAGACTACTTATATTAAGCCAATTTTACATGCCGCCAGACTTGAAAGAAATTTCCTCGGTTCTGTCATTCTTACTAACACTGTAATCGACCCATTATTATTATATATCTAAATAATAACAAAACATAAGTGATGTACCAAAATATTAAAGGGTCTAATTAAAATTTGTATCTAGTAGGCATTTACGTCAGTAAGAAAAGAGAGCTTGTATTAACTGATGAAGTGTTTGGTCACCCTATATTTAAATTGACTGTTTTGCGGTTCTTCTGCAGTGCAATTACCTAAGTGAAGCTAAGTGACGTGTGCTGTGCTTGCTATGTGCCAACTTTGAGTGTAGCTTGTGTTTTCCTGCTATTATATTCCTACTTACCAAAAGAAAAATGATCTTCCTACATTACCTCTCGCCACTTTGTTGACCCTGTTGGAGCCGGTCGGCCGAGCGGACAGCACGCTGGGCTTGTGATCCTGTGGTCCCGGGTTCGATCCCGGGCGCCGGCGAGAAACAATGGGCAGAGTTTCTTTCACCCTATGCCCCTGTTACCTAGCAGTAAAATAGGTACCTAGGTGTTAGTCGGCTGTCACGGGCTGCTTCCTGGGGGTGGAGGCCTGGTCGAGGACCGGGCCGCGGGGACACTAAAAAAAGACCCGAAATCATCTCGAGATAACCCTGCATGGATGGGGCTCTAGGTGTGTAGATAATGCACGCCAGCTGGCCTTCGAGACAAAAGTTTTCAAGGTAGACTACTCGGCAGTTCTTCTCCCTGTCTGTCCAGTGGTGCTGATCGACTGTTGTTGAGGTTCCTGTGTTGTATATAGTTGCTTGGGTTCATTCGTTCTTAGTAAATGAACTGGGGTGGATAATGCTTTGCAAATAGGGGTTGAGTAGGATATCGGGGACCATATCGTGGGGTTACCTTGAGATGGTAAGGTGGATCAATGTCCTCCAAGGTCAGTTCTCTGGCCCAGGTCTCATTATGGTTGGTAATTTGCTCCAATAGGCTGATAGACGACGTTGCCGTTTCAAAATTGTGTTAATGTTAGGTGTATAGAAAGTGGGTGTGGTTGGAAACTGTCTTGCATTGGCTGATAGGCCTCCTGATGTTTATCATAATTTTATGTTCTTAAATGGCTGTTATCTATTATATGGACATTATTTATTGATTGAACAGAGGTAAGTGTGGTGTGAAGAGAGTTGTAAAGAATGGTTTGGTCGATAAAGTGATTCACGGTGGATGCGTCACCTTGGTCTGTGACCCTGGGAATAGCGTGCATGCATGTTGGGGAGTGGGGGGGGGGTGCTAATTGGCTTTGAGGAAGGTTGCTGGAATCTTCTACAGTGGCGTGGGCCTTACAGCATTCTATATCATTTAGGTATTTAAGTGTTAAAATTAAGTTGGAGGTATTCTAAAACTATATAGATGCCTCGCATAACGGTTCACATGAACTCTAAATGGCCAGCAGATGCTTTTCAATAATGAAAAATGTAGAACCTTGTATGTAGCTAAAATATCAAGAATTTACTAAATTTTTACATTTACTAAAATATCAGGACCCAGCAGCACATTGAAACGGAAAAGAACCCATATGATGCATAACTGTTGAAATTTACTCAATTTGCGACTAAAAACTAATTTTTGGGAAAACAAAAGTGATTATTCAGCTGTATAAAAATCCCTAGTGCGTCCCCATCTGGATTACTGTAAGCCAAGCATAGAGATCTCATCTTCATCTAGCAGCCCCCGTGGCGCAGTGGCAAGATACTCTCCCCGCGCGTCGCAAGCATTTGGCCTGGGTTCGTATCCTGGCCGGGGAAGATTGACTAGGCGCCAGTCCTAAATTATATGCCTCTGTTCACCCAGTCGCCAGTCCTATACAAAATTATATACAAATAGTGTCCTTACCTATATATGCAAATAGTATCCTTACCTATATATGCAAATAGTATCCTTACTATCTTAGTATTAAGATAGTAATTGTGTGTACTGATTCACTAGACTGTGACACGGTTAGTTGTTAAAACAACACATTTTACCATTTAAGCAAACTCTTGTGGTTTACATTTGGTAAACTTCATCTTCTTGCAATCTGTAACGATCTATAGGTCCTAATTAAAATTACACATTCAGAGGATAAGTATTTCTTTATATTGCGAGGGAGAACTTTTGAGGTGGCAAGGTATTTCTACAACGCTTAGCAGTGCTCAGACAATTAATCTTGACACCTCTAGCAGAGAAATTCCAAGTTCTCCAATAACCTAAACATGTATATTTATATTCAAGAAACTACAATATCATTTGCATACTATTAAATTTACACATGTGCGTGAAAAATATGACCCACAGATAGTATAGTGAGATTCGATCTGGCATTATAAATGTTCATCATGCTGTATGGTGATGAACAATTTTACCCTCGCATTATATTACAAATTATGCCTTACTTTTATTCCAATCTCGGTTCTTACTGGCAAGCATGCTACCTTTAATTAAACGTCTAGCACATCATACAAGAATAAAACGTATAAACCATACCTTAGGAAATTTTAATCTCTAGGAGATTGATGTTTCCTAAACTTGAACATTGCTTTACATCTGTATAGGTTTCTTTACTTAAACAAAATTCAGTCTTACTCTCCTACACACATCTCTAAATCATCTAGAATCTGTCAAATATAATCCAGGTATTGGGACATAGTTATGGATTCACCAACACACACACACACACACACTCACATTATAGACCCGCACATGTATGCATGTCTAGACTCATTCCAACTTGCAACATAAATCGTCAAGCCGTCCTTCTAATAGAACGTCGCATTTTGACCCATGGCCTTATACCTAAAGTAAAAAATTGTGCTAGAAAATGGTAGCGGCTCGCGAAATTGATATACTTCCCGTTTTCTGTTTTGGGTCCTCTTGTGTGTTAGGATAAGGGCACTTTAGTACAGCAGTTTCTTAATTAACATTGGAAAACCTTAGGAGGACGGGCTGAAATCGTAACTCTCCTACACACATCTCTAAATCATCTAGAATCTGTCAAATATAATCCAGGTATTGGGACATAGTTATGGATTCACCAACACACACACACACACACACTCACATTATAGACCCGCACATGTATGCATGTCTAGACTCATTCCAACTTGCAACATAAATCGTCAAGCCGTCCTTCTAATAGAACGTCGCATTTTGACCCATGGCCTTATACCTAAAGTAAAAAATTGTGCTAGAAAATGGTAGCGGCTCGCGAAATTGATATACTGTCCCGTTTTCTGTTTTGGGTCCTCTTGTGTGTTAGGATAAGGGCACTTTAGTACAGCAGTTTCTTAATTAACATTGGAAAACCTTAGGAGGACGGGCTGAAATCGTAACTCGCAGAAAAATAAATTGCTTAACTTAATGACATTTCGGTACTTGAACCAATCCTGTAACTATCAGCTTTGCGCTACCACCCACAGGATATGGGTATGGGGGTCCTTTATAAAATAATTGAATTAAACAAAGTTTCCTTATGTTTGCAGGCGCCGACGTGGCGACTATGGGGCGAGGAAAAATGCGAAGGTGCCATCTACACAGTGTACCTGAAGAAGGTCCGTTATCACCACCCATCAAGGAGCATTACGCAGGTACTGTACACACCATCCTCTCCAGCAGTATATATAACACTGAAAACATGTGTCGTCTTGTAATCTACAGAATAACAAAACGTATGCCTTAATTGTAAGAAGTAATTATAGATTGTTACAGTTAATAATGAACCCAAGTTTGTATTTTTTTTTTAGTCATTATCAAGATATTGTATAATGTTCTTCCAGGATTGATTACTTTATTATATTGTATATTTAATACTGTATATATATATAATTTTTGATGTCTAGCCTATGGTGGTACTCGATAGTTTTTAGTTTAGATCCTAGTGATAAAATACTCTCAGTAAAATGTAGTTTCGAAAAAGAGTTTAGGAAGAAACTAAAGGTACGAAAAGTAGCTGGAAACCTTTCCTCATCTGAGAGAGACATTGCACTAACCCTCTTGTTACAAGTCGTGGATGACGACCTTTGGACCAGGTTGCCTATAGTGATGGTCACTGAACACATGTAACTCTACATCTCATAGTAAATAACTTGGTGACATTAGTCACCAAGTTATTTGCTGACAAATAAGAGTTTACCTGTGTAAATTATAGGAAAACTTGTACATGTCAAATTACCAAACTTATTGTCAACCATAGATTCCAGACAAGTTCGTTCTCGACTAACAATATGCAATTCTGGGCGGGACAGAAATGGTTGGGCACGTTTCCTATCACTTAATGCCTTTGTTCACCTAGCAGTTAATACGTACCCAGGAGTTAGTCAGCTTGTAATAGGGTTGTATCCAGGGGAGGGTCAGTACTTCGACTTTGGGGAGGGGAGGGGGGCACCCTCTCTAAAAGCCAAACATGTGAATATATACACTGGCTACCTGTCCCCCCCTGACAGTGATTATTATTGTTAATTATTTTGCATACATATTCAGTATATTAGATATAAATCAAAATGTTATAAGTAGGGATTATACTTACTAAGTTTATTTTGTCTAAAGTCCTTTTTTCAAACATGTGCAGTATTCTAATATAGAAAATTTGACAGGAGTCTGATGATGACGAAATCTCCCACCTGGAGTGGGAAACAGTTAGAGTGCGGTTCCTGAAAGCTGGCACTCTTGAAAAATTGATAGAATCTTTGGCATCAGATTCTGGGGAATTAGAATCCACCTTTGTTAACGTGTTCCTTGCTACATATCGCACCTTCTCCTCAACGAGACAAGTCTTAAACCTCATCCTTGATCGCTACCTCGCCCTCAATTCCAGTAATAATAAGATTAATGTTCCATCACATCTTCGAGAGGACCACAAAAAGTAAGTTTCGACTACATTTTTCTTGCGTTTACATATGTCTGAAAATTTCCTACAATATCATTATTCAAATATTTAGGCAATTTTGAAACCATGGATAAAAGACAAAAGTTTTGTGATATGTTACCTGTTGACCAAAATTATTGGCAGTCATTATACATTTCATTGTTAATGTGGTTGAGAAGACAAGATCATAGCTGGATATTTATGTACAAATGTCTTGTTTTTAAGGGCTCTGAGATTAACACTCCAAGTATGGCTGGACGCTTATCCCGAGGACTTCAGGGACCCCCCAACATTTGCATGCCTACACCAGCTATGGGAATTCACCAAAACTCATCTTCCAGACTCAGATTTAAACATCAAAGTTGGCTACAAACTGGAGAAAATGAAGAGAGAGGAAGACATAAAAAGTTAGTACAGTATTTGTAGCAGTGGTTCTGGTATTCTTTATACCGTACTTTAAAAAGTACAGTACATATTTACATTTATTGTGTTGGCATATACAGTATAGTATCATAGTTATATACTTTGTTTTTTAGTCTATCACTTCCATAAACAAAATCATACAGAATTGTTAATTGTCATTTACTCCAACTTAAGTATACATACTAGATTGTTTCACAATTTACAGGCTCACCTATGTTAGAAAGAATTTTGTCTTGTGAGGAGATGCGCATACACTGCTCTTCACCGATGAGTAATGGAAACCATCAACCATACGAGTTCCTTGACATACCAGAATCTACCTTTGCTCAGCAGCTAACTCGAATGGACACTGTAAGTGTTAAGTGTAATGCTGACAGTTCAAGGATGATTCATAAAGATGTTTTATTACATAATATTTTCATACACTTCATTTATAGCTGAATAATAATCTTTTTTTAATACATAATCATATGAGTTGTTTACATTAAATTATGTGCAGATAAATATTGAAGATTTAATTCATAAATAGCATAAGAATTTCTATTTATTTTTGCATTTCTTTGCAGGTTCTTTTTAAGGGTGTGATTGCTCATCAGTGCTTAGGCTCTGTTTGGTCTCGAAGAGATCGCGGTCGTGGAGACACAGCAGCAAGTGTTACAGCTACAGTTGAGCAGTTTAATGCTGTCAGCTTCCGTGTTCAGTCTACTATCCTTGTTGATACTGAACTTAAGCCTTCGCAGCGTGCCAGGCTTATTGTCAAGTGGATAGACATTGCACAGGTATGGTTAAAAACTAAACATTACACGGTAAATTAAATGTACAGACACTGATTAAACTGAATTTTGTTGTTCTTGCCTTTTTATTAATTTGTAATGTTTGTCTTTACAGGAGTTAAGAATGCACAAGAACTTTTCTTCTTTGAAAGCCATTATCTCAGGTCTGCAGTCAAATCCAATTTATAGACTGAAAAAAACTTGGGGTGCTGTCATAAAAGATAAGGTATGATTCAAGTTTATCCAAATTAAGTTATACTGTATTATAGATATTAATCATTAAATATTATTGTAATATTTTGTGTAAGCAACTTATGACAATTATTGCTAAAATATTGCTTTGGGAATATTGTACTGTACATATCTGTCTGAAAGCTTATGCACCATTATGTGAATACTTAAATTTAGGCGGAACTGTATGAAGAATTGGCAAGGATCTTCAGTGAAGAAAACAACCAGTTAAATCAGCGAGAGTTACTCATGAAGGAAGGAACTGCGAAACATGCTCAGACTGCTCATGCAAATGACAGACATCTTCCTAAAGCTCTTGAGAAGTTGGCAATAAATCCATTGGTAAGTTTCTTTTACCTCAAATGACTATTTTTTTGTTTTGAGATGGTAATGAGTTACATATGCAGTACTTAGGGTTCCAAAAAAATTGCTGTTATGTCACAACTGCATGTCACAACTGCAGTGAAAGGGAGGTGCAGAAAAGGGTGGGAAGATAATGTGAGGAAGTGTGTGTGTGGTTTACAGAGGCGTTGGTATTGTGCAAGATAAGGAATGTCTGAAGGAGACCACAGTACACTTTTAAGTAATATATAGTAGTGTATTGGATAGAGAAGTAGGTAATTATGAGATTTTAATTTTTATATTTTTGTATAATGAAATTTCTTGTTTCAGGCAACCAGTTATGGAACAATTCCTTATCTTGGCACATTTTTAACTGATCTCACCATGATTGATACAGCCATCCCTGACACGGTTACAAATGGCCTAATCAACTTCGACAAAAAACGCAAGGAGTTTGAAGTTCTGGCACAGGTATGTATCGCATAAATAATTAATTCAACACGATTCTTATCCAATTTATGTGCAAATTTAGACTTCTGCACAGCAACCTTCACATAAAAAAATTACTGTATAGTACATCTTTTGGTTTGTACCCCAGCCCTATTGTATTATTTATGGCCTGATGTCACTGTTGGGCATGTGTCATGATCTGCCAGGGACATGCTCAGTTGTGAGTGGCTCTCGCAACTCGTGAGTGAGTTGTGAGTCAGTTGTATAGGCTCTTTAGATCCCTACTGCTAGACTTACTGAAAGACAACATAGGTATCAGCAGTTTTAAGTCATTATCTTAAGGACAGTGACCTTTTACATCTATAAACTCCACTTCTTGACTCTAATATTCTTTCATGTACTCCTTCTCTACCTTCCCAGTCACTCATGCTGAATGACCTTCCAGTCACAGTACTCCAAGTCAGCACTTTTTATACTTGTCTATCACTGTTGGTATAGATGGAGCCTTCACCACCATCGACACCATGTACTTTCAACAATACCCTGTAGTCATTAAACCTTTGTGCTCATGATGAATACCACTTTGTTTTCCAAGATATGATCCTAGCATACTCCTCTTGTTCAGATACAGTAAAAAATATATACAGGAGTTTCTTTATTAAGCATGTTTTTTATTTTTTAATCCTTTCTCTGCTTTCAGATTAGATTGCTCCAAGGTGCAGCTAATGCATATCAAATGGAAAGAGATGAAATGTTTGAAAGATGGTGGGACTCTGTGCTTGTATTAGATGATAAGGAGGCATGGAGGCTATCATGTCAGATTGAACCACAGGGATCTTCAGCTCCATCATCTACCAGAGAGGGACGCATAAGGAAAAGAGCACAGTAAGTAGTCACTTTCATTCAGTTTTTATTTAAAAGGCACTTTCCTTGTGGCTACCGTGTGGAAGTTCTGGGGATCAATGTCCCCATGGCCCGGTCTCCAACCAGGCCTCCCAGTTAGCTTTCTGGTCAACCAGGCTGTTGGATGCAGCTGCTTGCAGCCTGACATAAAAGTTACAACCTGCTTGATCAGGTATCCTTTGGAGGAAGTATTTGTCGAGTTCTGTTGAGAGGCTGGCTAGTTATCCCCCCCCCCATGAGTAACAGGAGTGTGTTGATAGTTCTCTCGGAGCAGTGTGCAGATTTGGAATCGGTCCCTCGAATATTTTCCACTTGTAGATTATTATGCATTTCTCTCGCATATGTTCTAGAGAATACAGATTTAGAACTTCTAAACAGTCCCATTAATTTAATGTTTTATAGAGTGGATTCTATCAATAAAGGATCTTTGCATGCTCTCCTGGTCAGCAATTTCTCCAGCTCTGAATGGGGCTGTTAGTATGCAACAATATTCCACCCTAGAGAGCACCAATATCTTTAAAAGTATCATCATTGGTAAGGCATTCCTTGTTTGCAAGGTCCTCGTTATCCAGCCTGTAAATTTTCTTGGTCGTGACAGATACTTTGTGTTCTTTGAAGGTCAGGATGACACAATTTCTCAAAGATCCTTTATATTGCTTTTTTTTTTTTCTATAGTGTAATTTGATTGCATTTTGTATATGGTTTCTATTTTTATATTTTCGTTTTTTCCCATAACACAGGAGCTGGAACTAGTCTTCCAGCTACTTTGTGAAACGAGGCTTACTGTAATTACCTAAGTGTAGTTATAGGATGAGAGCTACGCTCGTGGTGTCCCGTCTTCCCAGCACTGTCATATAACACTTTGAAACTTCTGACGGTTTTGGCCTCCATCACCTTCTCACCTAACTTATTGTGCACCCCTAATTGTACAGCTAGTAGTTGGCCATAAAATTTGAGGCCAACTTCCAGGATGCCCCTACATTTGCATACAGCTAGAACTTGTCTTCATTAAACATCATATGTGGTCCATTGAAAGACAAAATTAACATCAGATTGGAAGTTTGCTGTGACCTCTATATTGCACATGAAAATCCTAGTGTCTTCTGCAGACGATTATAGAGTACTATAAGCTTGTATCCTTGTATGTCTGGTATGAAAAATGAGAAAAAGTACCGGAGCAAGGACAGTACCTTTGGGGACTGAGCTTTCGCGGTGAATGATCCGGATTTTACTTTGTTGACTATTACACTCTGGGTTCTATTCGTTAAGAAGGTAAAGATCCATCTCCCTACTTTGCCAGTAATTTCTTTTGAGCGCATTTTGTGTGCAATATCTCCATGGTCCCATTTGTTGAAAGCTTTTGCAAAGTCTATGTATAGTATGTGTGTGTTTTGCTCATCTTCCAAGGCACAATAAGGTCATGTCATAGTGATCTAGCAATTGTGAGAGGCAGGAGCCCCCTGTTCTGAACCCGTGTTGCCTGGGGTTGTGTAGATGTTGTGATTCCACGTGACCTTACTTCTGAGCACTCGTTCAAAAATTTTGATGTGTGAAGTTAGAGATCTAAAGTTAGAGATGCTTTACTACCTCCTTTGTGTAGTGGCATGATCATCTCTGTTTTCAATGTCATTGACACCAGTATCTAGGTTCTGTTTCCAAAAGATGTTTAGGGCCTATGATAGTGGTGTTTTTGCATTTCTTGATGAACATAGAATTAAAAGTCTGGGGTTGGTGCAGAGTGCATCGACATGCTACTTCAAAGTCCACTGGGGTTAAGGTGACATTGTTATGTAATTTGATGTTGGTGTCACATTCATGAAGAATTTGGTATGACAAAGTAATCACACTTGATTACACATTAACACTTTCGCGCTCTCCGCAAAGGTCACTCAGCCAACCGAATGTGCGCGCTGCGTTTTTATCGCTTAAGCGTAAAAACAAAAATGTGTATACTCTTTTTACTCTCCTGACCTTAGTTCTCATGCTACGTATTTCATTTTGGCACCAACGTGTTTGCAATAAAATTCTCTAGAAGAACATTAGTAAAATAAGTCACGAAACATATAGGGATACCAGCACCAAATAAATAACTACGTAGATGACTCGCCGTGAGCGCCCATCAGCAACAAAATGTTTTTACTCTTGGGATTATAATCACCTCCACACTTGTTCTACAGCGTTAATTTTGGTATCAATGGACTCGCAATGAAATTCCCAACACGGTGATATGAATATAAGCGTTGAATATTGATGCAGCCCGCCCGCAAGAGTGTGGGAAGTGGTGAAATTGTTACCCGGTATCGGTGACGGGACGACGCACAGCGCTTTGAAAGTTTATACTTATTTCACTCTCATGACATTAATTTTCTATGTACGTCATTCATTTTCATGTCAATGTATTCGCAATAGAATGTTCTATGTGCCCATAGGTAAAAAATATCAACAAAGCGTAAGTTAGAATAGCGACAAATATAAAACAACGCTGGAACATATCAGTGAGCGTCAAACACACACGAAATATTTTTACTTTTGTTATGTTTGTCAAGATTATACTTGTTGCACACAGTTATTTTTGGTTGTATATTGATCGGAATAAAATTCCCTAAACAGACATATGCATATAATACATGATATGGGGGAAGAATTACCAGTATAAACGGCTAAAGTCACCCACCTGCAACCCGTTTGGGACAAAATACCATTTGATCGACGTTATCCACACCTTTCATGAACTTATTGTACCATGCAGCCTAGTGGTGAGAAAGAGAGCCTCATAGCGCGCAGTTTGAAACAAACCCAAAGTAAATCGGATAAAAATTGAATTTTATACAAATATTTTAAAAGTTGACATAACTTTATGTCCACTATGCGTTTACGTTAGACGAAACCGAACGCGCCGGCGCGTCCAGATAGCGCGAAAGTGTTAAGATAGTTATTATGAAAGTGTACAAAGTTTGGATGAATGTGTACATTACTCAGTACTGTATACATATTAGTGCAATATATAAACCAGTAGCTAAACAATGAGATACAATACTGTACTTTTACACACTGAATATTTTGGGCAGGTCTAATACAGACAGACATAACAAAGTTTGATTTGGGTGAAGTAAGAAAATGAATAAGCACTCAAGCTAAAGTAGGAAATATACCAATTGTAAATGATAATACAATACAGGTAATTTGTAATTTCATATAAACACACACAGTTAGTTACTACATGCTCGGGTATTAAAAATATTGCTTAGACAGTGACTACCAAGAGTATTCGAGCCAAGGGTGCAAATCTGAGGCCAACTTCCAGGACCCCCTACATTCACATAGCCCAAAATTTACGTTACAGCTTAACATACAGTTGTCAACATTGTTCATCCTCATTACATGTGATCCTAACTGAACGCAATCCGTGATAAAAAGCAACCACTTTGTCATTCAAGGAAATGAACAGGTTGGAAAGCGAGTCCAAGAATCTTGCTATTGGTAGCAAGAATCCTTATAGTGTATTAGGCAATCTATGCTAGTATTAAAATATGTAGCTTCAGCATAGAATCTCAGCCTCTTAAAACACAGATTAATAGGTCCATAAAATTCCCCTTAAATAATTACTTTTATGTTTCAGATTTGGTCATAGAAAAAATGACAGTATTGCAAGCACCTCAAGTGGATCGTCCAGTAGTCAGTTTTTCTTTGACAATGACTCGCTGAACACTCACACCAGTCACAATGATACATGCTCTCTAGAAAGAAAGGCAAGTTATTGGTTGAAGCTGTTATAGATATTTTTCCATTTTTGTGAAATATTTGTAATGTTAAGACACAAAATATTGAATATTGTGATTAAATTCAGGAATAATGGTAGTCTAAATTAAAACAATTTTACATGTAGGCCTACTCTATATGCTTGTTTATAATTACTTTATATAATTTGTCAATCTACCAGCATCCAGAATGCAATATCTAAATTTTCTGGACCCTGCACCTTTTATCTTTATGCTCTCATTGAGTGTCCTTTGTATATACTCCTCTTGCTGTCATTGTAGATAATAGTTGCCTGCTAGTCACTAATGCATTACTTTTCACTCATTGTACAACATAGTATATTCTTCTTTTAGCAGTCCACTCATCCATTATTCCCGCCCTTTTCAATCTTTCCATCTGTCATCCACAATCCTTCCAATCCTCTCATTCACCATCCTTACCATATGTTCAAGCCTTAATAAGTGATACAACCTTGAATGAAACGGTGGATAATTCTAAGTGGCGAACAGTATCGGGTACAATACTGGTATAATTAAAGTCCCATTGTGGAGGCCAACCCTCTGTAATAAGCTATAGTCAAAAACAAAAGTACAGTAGCACAAACCTCATCCTGAACAGGTTATACAAAGACTTTTTGAAGTCAAGCCAGTGAAGATGATACTGCATCCTTTACTAAATTAAATAACTACAGGTATATATTTGCTTTTCATAATGGTAATGTTATCCTAAGGAGATCTGAGGCTAATGTGGAACTTTTAAGATTTAATTTTCAGAATTGTATGAATTATGTGACTGAAAGTCACACTTATAACATCTGATCCAAGTAGAGTGCAGTATTGTTCCCAGCTGATTGAGTCCTGTGACAAGATTAAATGGTAATGGGACATGTTTTTATATCCCATTCACTAAATATTGCACCTGGCTGACATGCCAGCTCAAGCTGTCATGCAGTTTTCCAGGTTTCCTGGAACTTAATATGGTAATATAGTTTACTAGGCCTATATATTTTGATGCAAGTCTTAAGAGAATATATCGGAGCTGCATACCCATCCATAACCTTTCATGACACATTCATGCCCTTTACCTATTGTTCATTCTCCTAATTCCTTTACCCTTCTCATTAGTAATTTCTCTACACTTTTCCTTGGTGTGTTTTATAAGTTAAATCCATTTACTGTTATTTCTATTCTCTTTTTTAAAATGCTTTGTTTCTGCTTTTCAACAAAAAAAAGCAGAAATGGCATCCATTGGTGCTTTTTTTTGTCATATGAAATTATTTCTGCAGTTTATGGAAAATCTTGCACAATTATATTTTTAAAAGTTCATGTGCACAAAAACATTAAATTATTATATATCTCCAGATGTCAACATCCTCCAGTAGCTCATCGCTACCATCACTAGATGTGTCTGTGCACTCGGGTGGTACATCTGCATCAGGTCGTACCCCTGAGCGTTCTTCAAGCTCTCAACAGCAGCAAATTCTTCAACAGCAGACAACACCTTCTCCATACATCACTCCTGATTTCTACATCATCAGAGTGTCAATTGAAAGCAGTGCACATGAAATTGAAGGTTTGTAAATTATGGTATATACTTTTTTCCTAACCTGATGGATATTGTCTCCAGTGGTAGGAATGTGAAGACACGTTACTTGTGGAAGGTTCTCCATTTTTTTTTACGTGATTTAAAAACTATATTTGTAGTTGCACCACTGTCTTGATCTTCATTGCTCAGAGTGAAAAAGCTTATATTTCCTGTCCTATATTATAGATTGTCTAGTTTGAAATACTTGCCTTGGTTAGTCATGTTGGCCCTTTTATGGTAGTGGTCTGGAAAAGATGCAGAGGTCAATGGGAAAGAATTGAAAGTAAATTTTATAAATGTAAATGCCTCTCACTTACCCCAAACACATCTAACTGGAAGGGAAAATCTAAAAATTTTGAAAAATAAAGTGGTGGCAGCATTTGAGGGGATAATTGTGTGGCCTGGAGTGGATGAAACTTGCATGGGTAAAACATAGGAAAGTGTACGAGAGGTATTTTTAAGAGCATATGTGTAAGGAGATTGTTATAAAAAAAAGACTGAGATGGAGTTTTTATGAATCAGTTGAATGATAGTTTAAAGCAATGATAGGAAAGCTATTGTGCTGGGAAATATGAATACTAGGGTGAGGTATGAATGCAGAGAAGTTGTTGCATACTGAGGCATGTCGGGTATAAAGGTGTCGGGTGTTAATTTTTAGTAGATATGTATTCAATATTCTTTTTGTTTTGTCAGATAGCATCACAAGGTATCCATGGATGCAAATGGAAAATAATTTGATTATGAAAAGGTTATGTGAAAGATGCAAGTATTGTGAGAGGGATGTTTAAAGGGTTAGATCATTATGTAGTGCTGGATAAAATCAAGGTAAGTGGGATGAACTGTATGGCAAATGTCTAAATATACATAAGTTGGAGAATATAGGAGAAAAGTCTAAAATTTCATGAAACGCCCAGGTAAAATATTACCCTGTGTAGAGAAGAAATAATTGAGAATGTGAATGAAATACCAGTATTCCTGTATATGTATTAGGTATATATATAATTTAAGAATATATATATACTGTATTAGAAATGAAGAGTGAGAGAGATACCGTATGGCTCATCAACAATAAAAAAAGGCTATCGAGGAGAAAGTATACATTGAAAATATTGCCCTAGAAAAATGTGCCAAGCAATGAGACAGATAAATATTGAATATAATAATTGTAAAAAGATTACAAGAAAATGAGTGAGTGATGAAAAAGGGGTAAAGTGGCAGTTTGGGAGAGTAGTGTGAGAACTTTGTATGATATAAGGGATTAATTTACATAAACGTTCAAGTTGTGATGGGAAAAGGGAAGGTAAACTAATTGAAGTGGGCAGTGATGATGGGAAGGAGGGGTGACTATAATTACCTAAGTGTAGATACAGGATGAGAGGTAGGTTAGTGGTGTACTATCTTTCCAGTACTCTGTCATACTTTGAAACTACTGATGGTTTTTGGCCTCTCCCACTTTCTCGCTTGTTCCAATCATCTATCACTGTTTGCAAAAGTGAATTTTCTAATGTTTTTTCAGCAGTTTGTTGATCGGTGTGCATAATAATACTAATGAAGGAGTGCATATTTTAAGTATGTTAGTTACTTTTTCTTCCCCCATTTGCAATCAACATATTTTGTAATGAATAGAGTTCATGGACACGACTGGTAGATCAGAGAATAGATGGAAGTACAGTAGATATGAATAAGGGTTGGGGGTAAATTAAAGCAGATATGAATAGAGGCAAGATTTCCTAGTATAAATGGAATAATTGCAGATATTTACCAGAGGCCCACCATCTCTAATTGCCTTGATGGAATGGTCCTTCCCCCCCACCCCCCCTATTCCAGAGGTTTTTTCCATGTTGCATTTTGAACTGGAGCGCTGTGTTGGTTTTTACAACTTTAATGGTTAGGAAATTCCATGATACCCTATTAGGGTGAGGTGATGGACATAATGTTAAATGCATGGTATGTGTGTAAGATACTGCTGATTGAACAAAGGCCATTGTGGTAGTACCTATATATATAGGAAGAGGTACTGTAGTTACAGTTGGGAAGATTGCAGAAATGATAAAATTAGTTTCTGGGATGCTAAGTAAAGTGTATGCAAGGGTGCAAATTAAGAGAACAAGAGATGGAACAATTGCTATATTACTATTATAAGGGTTGGGGAGGTTGGTTGGTTAGAGGCTAACACGTGGGCAGTTTACCATGAGAATGGTATTGAAAAGTTTTACCAAATGGAAGAAGGTTGTATGTAGCATTTATAGACCAAAATTGTATGATTGATCACGAAGCATCGTGGGTGGTGTTTTAAAGATCTATGTAGTGGAATGGAGCTTATTAAGAGCAGTAAATATTTTTTATATGAAAAGCATGTATGTCAATAGGGCAAAGACTAAGAATGGATTTTGAAGTTAGTGGGAATAAAAGTAATTGTAATGGGGATAAATTAGTGTTGTCTGCATGCAGATGATGCAATGTTCTTTGCTGAGAGTGAGGAGGAATTGCAAAAATTTGTGAGAGTTTAATAGTGTGTGCAAGAAAATAAAATAGTCAGTGTATTAAAAAAAAAGTGCTGAATGCAATGAAACTCCTTTTTCTGGAGGAGCTCTGGCAGCTCTCTGAAGCTATCTTGCCAAGATTGCTTCATACCAAAAAGTTACATTAGTTGCAGAAGCTGTGTCTGGCCTACTTGGTACCAGAGCCAGAACATGGCTCCCTCAGAGGTGCAAATAGCGAGTGAAAATCTGCCACCACCTGGAAAAAGCCTCCAGAAAGTCGGTTAAGCTTTACAGACAACTAGAGGGTTCACAGAAAACGAAGCCTTGAACCACAAAACGACTCTGCAAGTGATTGACACTGAAGAAGGGATTCACTCGCTCATTTCTCACAACTTATTATTACCGATTACCACCACCCAGGCCCAACCCTGAACCAGTTCCCCTGGTCAGTTCTGGAGCTCTTCTGGAGTTTGAGTGAATCCCTTGTTCTGTGAGAATTGTTTGCAGGGTTGTTTGGTGGTTTCAAAACTTAACCCTCCAGTTGTCTATAAAGCTTTTCGGATCATCTGGAGGCTTATTTTTCAGTGGGGTGACTGATTGTAACTCGCTCTTTGCACCTCTGTGAGGTAGGGGGGGGCTAGGTTCTGGCTTTGGTCCTCATCAGGCCAAACAGAACATCCTTGACTGATGTGACTATTTAGTATGGAGCAACTTCACCAAGATAGCTTCAGACAGTCATCGGGGGGTAAAATAACTTTATTTTCCCTTCAGAAAATAAGGTTATGGGGTTTGAAAGAAGGGAATGGGATGATGTAGATTTTGTAAATTCCTTAAGAGTGGCATGGACTACAAGATAAAATGAAGATGATGATGTTGTAAGAGGTAGTGTTTAATTAGTTAGGGAGTAAAAAATTGGAGCATGAGAAGTGATAATACGAGAGCTGAGGAGTATAGTGGGAAAAAAAGTTAGTTTAGATGCCAAGAAAGGACATATTTATACTACCACCCATAACATATGAAGTAAAACCTGTGTGTGGAAGGAAGCAGTGCTCAAGAATACAGGCAGAGGTGTGTTTTTTGAAAAGCAAGTGCGAGATGATTATAGCAACGAGGACTGTTGAGATATACGAGTGAAATGGGCGAGGTAATGAAATACTGTACTGTACTGTACAGAGTTGGTAAAGCACAACACAGGTGACCAGATCTTAATGGCAAGAGTAGAACAAAATTTAAAAGGGCAAGAGCTTGAAAGAGTGAAGAGGTTTCTGGAAGTACTAATGCTATGGCCACCTCTGCAGTCCTTTTGGACCTCCATTCACAGGAAGAGTATAGCATATACTCTCAAGTTAAGCCTGGCCTCAAGCCAGGCTTGGGGAGTAGAACTACTCCAAGAACCCCATCAAACAGGTATCATACATAATAAAATTAATTGTTTCTGTCAAGAATAATTGTTATAGGAATGAAAATGTCTATAAAGACCAGGGTGAATGTTTGTGGATATCTTGTAAAAGTTTGGATTGTGATACCGAATGGTTCCATTCTAACTTCATGCAAACAGTACTTGTGGTAGAGATGATTTTAAGCCTAGTCGAGTGTACATGTCTGCCCCACACCTTGGGAGTTCAGGGGCATGGGTTTGGCTCTATTTTATGGCCTAAATATTTAATCATGATCAATGTTCATTAATATACATTTGCAAAGTAGCATTTTGATGTATCAAGCACTTTTTTTTTTTACTTTTTTCAGGTGTAAACCTCTACAAGAGTATCATGCTAAGCAATTCAGAAAGGACTGTGTCGGTCATTCGAAAAGCCATGGAGAAACATGGATTTGAGGGAAACCCTGAAGACTACACATTGGCACAGTTCCTTCCTGATGGTGGTGAGTCGAGATTATTAATAGATTGATATTACTAATGAATCTATGGATTTCAATGTTTCTACTCAAGTTGTCTAATCATTATATTTTGGTCTTATTTCTAATATAATTTAGTTTTACAAGTGTGTAATAAAATTGAGCCTGGTCAATTGTATCTATTAAATCTTGCATTTTTTCCCCTTTTGAACAGAGATGCTATTACCTGCATCTGCAAATGTGTATTACGCAATTAACACTCAACATGACCTTAATTTTGTGTTGAGGAGAAGACGACATGGTGATGAAAACACAATCATAAGAAGAAATCCAAATAAGGACCATAAAGTTCGCAAAAAACTCCTGGTTACATAGCTCTAAAGCTAGGAACATATACCTGTGGCAACTCGATGCATCTCGCCCTCTGCAGCGAGAAGTATCCATTTCAGAATACTGTGGAACCAATAGACACCAAAGGAAGTGTGAAAGCCATTTTCAGTGCAGTGTACCAAAAATAATGGAAGAAAGTTATGGCCCATGATATTAAGACTTTGAGACTGACGTTCTAATTATACAATATGCTATTTGAGGCTATTGGCATTTGAAATACATATTGCTGTGGTATTCAATTTGGAAAATACACTGAAAAAACTAATGTTCTCCAGTAATATCTGGGTTGCATAACTTAAACTTGGCTCTCATTTCATTAGTGCTGTGAAACCATTTCTTCAGTGTTGTCTATATCTGTATAAAATGTTTCATTAAGGATATATGATCTGAAGTGATATTTATGTTCTGATTTAAAGTACTTTTGAATGAGTGTGTTATGAAAGTTATTCACTTAATTTTGTAAATTGTGTATGTATGTGGGGCACGAGTGTATTGGATGGATAATACTCAAGATTTAATTGTCATTAATAAGCTTTAACTTAGAACTTCCTGATGTGAATGAGAACACGACTGTGCAAATGAGACTGAATAGGCACACAATTTCAAAAAATTATTTATTTTTCTTATTGAGCACCCTTGGCACCATATATATACCATACAGTAATAATCTCATGGGGAATTATCTTGTTTTGAGTTAGTGCCAGAAGCTAATTCATTGCAGACCTGTGTGATTAATCTAATTATACATTTCCCATTATCTTGTGGAACAGATAGAAAATGGGATTATTGTGCACACATTGATAACATTCAGCTTAGCTGGTCTTCAAAAGAATTCTCTCCAATTACTCAATCTTAAAATTCTAGGTTACTATTGCACTACTAACATGTCCATAAATATTGCTTTATTTTTCGAGTTACAAAATGTTCAAACGATTTTGTAAATTATCTACTTCCCCCAAATTTATAATTTTAGTAGTTTGTATTCTCCCTATATTTAAAATTATATACAGCACGTGGAGTTGTTGGAGAGTTAAAATTTTATTCTTCCGAACTGTAAATATTGTGTAGGTTATTTTGTATACATGTAAAAACATTCTATTGTTACCTTTGTAAATAAAGTCTATTGTTTCTAAACATTTTTGTGACATTTTGCAATCTTATTTTGTCCTATCTATAGGTTGAGAGATAAATAAGAAATACAAAATGTCATTTGGTGTGGGCAATGTCCCCTGTCCAAACAGGAATCGACTCTGGCTGCAAAGTTCTACAATATTCAAAACAGTTGTAGTTTGAATACATGTAGATATTCCTAGAGAATTTCACCTGTCCTCGGCTAAGTGTGTGAAGTGCCACTGATTACATTCAATTTTTTCTTAGTCTCTTCTTTCAATGGTTAAAGTGAAGTTTTTACAATAATTCGCCCTTAGAAAGTAATTATCAAAAGAATGCACCAAGCCAGGAAGACCATGTAGCACCATCAAAGTTGCAAAAGGCATTAAATATCCAAGGATACCAATAGAGTAAAAGACGCACTCGCTGACTGATTCACTCACTGACTCAATGATTGACTGACTTACTGATTGACTCACCCACTGACGGACCCATTGATTGACTGACCCACTCACTGACTTACTCACTGATTGACCCACTGACTGTTGCACTCACTGTGCCACTGACTGACTGACTGCTTAAACTGCAACACTGACTGACTGACTGACAGCCACTCACTGATTGATTGACTGATGCACTCACACACTACAAATATGGCAGACATGAAATCATATGTAATATGATCAGACTAAACAGTCAGTCTGATCATATGTGGATAGTCGTCAAATTATAGTTTAACTTTATAACTCCTCATAGAAGCATGGACTGGATTTCTTCACTTTACACTTATATTTTAATAATTTTTACAATTACAAAAGGTACTTGAGATTGTTTATATATGAACTAGGACAGTTGTTTACATATATTTGAGGGGGGGGGGGGGAACAGTTCACCCATGGTGAATATGCTTTCCATGCATACGCCATGCTGGTGACTGCCTTTGTGGGAGTTACAAATTCTGCATGTCATCAGGACAGACACCAGAGGTAAGGGTGTAGACTGTGCTGCAGGAACCTACTTCAAGACATTGCATCTACAAGCTTGGGTGTGGTACTACTGAACAGGTAAACTGCTGTTCTTTTAATTCACCAGATTTTTTTTTTTTTTTTTTTTTTTTTTTTTTAATACTGTACCCTGTATACAGGTATATACAACCCCATCCTCTGAATTGACAGTACATTTTAATACTAAGTGTAATAAGTACATTTCCTGTCATTCATAGTACATAATTGCACTTATGGGGCTGTTACATTTACCTCCCCATTTTTGGAGGACGGGCTGATATATAAATACAAGGTGCCGAGGATGAGAGTAACCTTATGCAGAATCCCGTAAACTGCAAATCAACTTTTCGTGTAATTTTAATCACAAAAATATTATTTGTTTGTATGAATTTATTATTTATGAATTATCAGTGCAAGGTCAAAAATAGATAAATTACTACAGAAAATCACAGGTTTAACAACAAATTAATTAGATACATGGTACACAATATAGTCATAATTAACATTAGCATCAGTTTCTACAATGACCACTTCTTCCACATGACCTCTTGTGATGGCTTTTTGTTCAGCACATGGAAATATAGCTTCACATGTCTTGGCAACCCCTTCTTGGCTTGTAATTCTTTCCTCCATTTGTCTTTCTTTGTCAGATATTATCAAAGATAAATTATTGGTCACTACTCTCTCATAGTTACTGTCACAATCTCCTGCCATTACTGACATACTAACAGGATTAGTATTCATTACTTTATCAGGTGAATCACAGTTAGGAATGTCAGACCTAATTTCTTTCTCAGTAATTCTTAAGTTGGCAGTGGACATTAAGAGAGATCCGCTGTCCATGGCCTTATGACTAGCATGCAGTTGACCTGGTTCTAGAGCAGCTTCAGTGTGGATGCTCTTGTCTACATTCTCAGGTTTTACCAGCAACCTCCCTGATGAAGACACACACTTTGCTTCTACTTTCTCCACAGAAAGTTTAGCATTCTCTTCAGAAAGTCCTGGTGCACTATGTCTGCCTTCAACAAATAATGAAGTATTACCAGATATGATTGATGGCGTCACAACCGTGTTGTCGTAAGACATGGATGATGGGTAACATTCATGCTTTGTACGTCTATGCTTCTTCAGCGCTTCCCGTGCTGAATATTGCTTACCACAATCATCACATTTATATGTTAATCTCTTGTGTTTATTAACATGTACCCTGCAAAATATAGATATATATAATACAGTATATATATGTATAATTATATATTATAATTACTTAATGGTGCTGTAGTTATGGGAAAAGACTCATGCTCAAGGTGTCCTGTCTTCATAAATTTGATCAAAGGCAGTCTTAAAACTAATGGTACCTTTGACAAAACTTTTTCCTGATGGTTGTTCAATTTCCCAACTAATATATTACTGAAGAGGAATTTTCTGATATTCATTTTACATTTGTGCTCCTTGATCTTTTATCTCTTATCCTTTTACTGTGTTTGAGACAGGCAATAAGAAGCCCACAGTATCTTTTGTCGTACAGTTTAGGAACCTTTAGCCTTCAACTCGCACAGCAACCAGGGTCGCGTTTAGGTCTAACACGAGATTTAAAACTCCTGTGCGTATATTCAATCCATTTCCTCAGGTACCTAGTAAACAGACGTCCTCTTGGAAAAAAATCATAGGCACCTCTCCTGGGTGCGAGAGCCTCATAGTTGAGATGGCGACCATGGGTAGTGCATGTTGCAGCAGCTCACAGCACTGCTGTGCAGCTTCTGCCTACAGCATCACTTAACAACAAAATAAATAGCTGCAATCACCAGGAGCCATCTAGAGATTTAATATGTAACCATTTACCTGTCACAGCTTACAAACAGCCTGCTCTAGATAAAATCAGTTGTGAATGACTAGTGCAAGTACAAGCCCCTACATTATTGCATGTTGATGGCTGGAAAGGTGCAAGGGTTAAGGTGTACAGGTAATTGAATGATGGAGAGTTTAGTTCAGTGCCTTCAAAGTAGTTTAGTCCTTGCACGTGAAATGTAATCTTAGTACACTCAAGCACTGATGTACTTGTATTAGCAAACTTAACATTTACATACAATATAGAAATTTGACATGCCTCTCAAGGTATAATAATAAAAATAAAACACCACTTACTTGTAGGCAATATGAGAGGAAAATTTGGTTGGGCAAAGACTGCACATCCAGGATGTGATTCCTCGATGCACCGAGTTTACATGAGAATTCAGCTGAGTTTGTAGTTTAAATGTTTCACCACAAAACTCACAAATCATAGAGTAGCTTCCATGTGCCTGAAAAATAAAGTGATGTATTTGATGTACTGTACAGATAGATGTGTGTGTATGAACATGTATGTATACACAGAGAAAATTCCAAAATACAGACCATCATACATTGAAAACGTATATCGTATCTAAATAATGGAGTAATTTTACAAAAATACTGAGCCGGATTTTTTTAATATCTAAAGTGAAATTATGGTGATTATGTGCGGTACAGGTATTCAGTAAAGTTTTTTCCAGCATCTCGTATGTTATCATCAATTTTTGCTTATCTTGTACTTTTAATAGTAAATACCATTAATGTTTTGAGTTAATGAGTGACAAGACTACAGTATTACAGTACTTGTTTATGTTTGCCTTCTAATACCACCACATTGTTCCAAAGCATCATTCAAAATATTACACACCTCTACCAGTCTTTTCCTGGATTATTGCAGATCCTGAGGGTAACCTGAAGGATTTTCACCAAGGTAAAACAGCTGTATGAATTGTACCTTCAGGCTGGTGCATTGTCAAAGAAAACTTGAATGATGAATAGACTGGGAAAACTTTGCCCTACCTCTGCTCTTTTTTGCCAAACAAGTGATGAATATTTTGAAGGTTCCCGCTAGAAAATGGACTTTGAATGAGTAATGTATGTATGTAGAATGAGAAAATGTACTTCCCATCTAATGAGATGGAAAATCCTTGGCTATCTTAGGGCTTCAGTCAGATGAATTGCAAAAGGTATTGATAAACACACTTGAAGAGGTTGTAGATGAGTGGCTTGAGACCGAAAACCCTACTGGACCTACCATAACCAACCTTGAGACTATTGACTTGGTAACAAACTGAAAATCAAGAACAGAAAGATTATGATGATTAATCACATAACCTCTCATCATACTGGCTTTGTGTTAAGAAATATTTTCTGAATATTATATCTTTTATGCAGCCCATCCTCCTGTTTTGGTAGAACTTATTGAAAGGATGAGGACCATAGTACATATATTGACATACAACGCAATTAGAAATCGGTACTACTGAATTTCGACAAACCGGAAAACAATTTTCTACTTATGTTGCAAAGACAAAACTAACCTATCTTAACCTTCCCAGGCCTAATAAATGCTATCTGAGGCCTAATATAGTACACACATGTGTGCTATACTAGGCCTAGAAATGTTTAAGTTTGTTTTTTGGCTTCATTTTTTTGGACTCATAAAATGAATAAGGAGAGTAGTACCAAATTCTATTCTATTGACATACTAAGCAATCTAATTGCTTAGTATGTCAATGTTTGTATTATGGTACACATAGTTACAAAAAGTACTAAATAGGAGGATGGGTTGCTTTTATGGAGTCCAGAAGCAAATATATTTCTGTATTTTGTACTACAGTATGTACAACCTGTAAAGATGCAAATTATGTATATGAACACTTGGAAAAACAACTTATTTAAATTATTATTTTACAAGGCCTTCAAAAATCCTCACACCTTTCTCTAACTGTTGTACCTGGCTCATCAAGTAAGTCTGCCACCTTTTTACCTGCTCTGCCTGGCTCATCAACTGAGGCTGCTGCTTTTCCAAAGTGAATGACATGTTTATCACATATTTTACAAATGAAACAAAATATTACATGTTAACACTGAGGCAGTAAATGCCCTGGTCATCATAGGACAAATGCTGGAACTACTCCATCAAATGGCTTTACATGAACTCTACATTACACAGCAAAGAATTAACAATTATCATTAGCTTGGCCAATCTTGTTCGTAAAGCTCTTGTCATCCTGCCAACAGGAGCAAAGTTTAAGTTGTCTTACTCAAAGCAAGTTCAAGCATGATTGATTCGAGGCCTTTTACGTTTCCATTCTGCTATATGGTCCAATCTGATTTAATTTTGTATTATGCTTCATATTTATTTTTCATTTATCAAAATAAAAAGATCAGAAACTTGCTGTTACAAAATAGCCTAATATGCTCTGCAGCTTATTAACAAACTTGATATACACAAGTGATATACACAGGCTTACCCTCATAACACACACTACCCCAAGGACAGCTTAAGAATACCCAGTAATCTACATTATTATATTACCTGAGCCTTGTGAGAGGAAAAGTTACGAGCATGGGGAAATACTCTTGTGCACTTGTCACACGGATAGCGAGGACCTGTATGGACAAATATAAATTGAAGTTATTAAACTAAAATACAGTACCACATAATTAAATGGCATTTGATACATTTGAACCAAATGCCATTTAGTATTTGACATTTGGTTGAGCATTAGAGAATTTTTGTTTTTGCGATTTTGGCAATTTTGTGTTTGGCATTTTGGAGTTTTTATAGTTATTTGTAATTTCTACTTCGTATAATGATCTGTTACAGAACTAAATGAAAACAATTTCATTAATTTGGAAGCAATTGTATTTCTTTAAAGAGAAATTTGAATGTATCAATTTTCATTGTTCCTCCAAGTCAGTCAGTTATTTCCTTTCTAGATCATTTTGAAACTGACAGGGCTTAGACATGTACATTAAATTGTACAAACTAGAAGAAACATGTTATCAATTGATTTTCTTGAGAACTGACCAATTTCTATGCTTCAGGCATAAAATATTTTATATTATTGTGAAAATAAAAAAAAATTGCAAGTCATATGGTAACTCCACAATTTCATCTTTACATTATGAATCTGAAATAAAAGCAAGGGTGTAAAGTGCTGGAGAATGAATAAGACTCCATCCCAAAAGCTAAGGCAGTAATATCTGAGGGAATAGCAGTGTTTAATTTTAAAAATATCCTCTTTTTAAATATTGCAACAATAACCAGTACATTATTTAGAAAATAGCATCTGGCGAGGTTTAGAAGGAAATTAAAAATTTGGATGAAAATATTAGGAATTAGGAGCTAAACTGGTAAATAGCAACAAAAATAGTTGCAGAGGTCGAGGAGTTACCAGTACCTTGGGCTGAGAACTGAGGAGGTAATAACCAAAGGCATATCACAAACAAATGTTTAATGTCAGGATTTTCCTTTTTTGATATTGCAACCTTAATTAACCCAAATTACCTTATAGTTAAATGCAAGATATCTATCAACTACTCTAATCCCATGCTTAACATTCTTCTAAATAACCGTAAGACATGTCTCTTCATCCACTCTTCCATACATTGCTTTATTTAGCAAATGTACACAAAATTGTTATTATAAAGCAGTAAGTTTTTACCTTCATTGTGCTTGGCTGCCAGGTGATATGAAAGTCCTGAAGCTCCACGGTACATTTTCCCACATATGTGACAACTCTTCTGTTTCTTGTCTGGAGTCGGGGATTTTGAGACTTGAGCGTGAAGTCGCTGCAGGTGCACTTTGTATGCCGTGGCATTTTGAAGCAGGCGTCCACACACCTCACACATCTGGCAAAGTTAGCCTAATAACAAGGATTTCAAATACAATCATATTGATAGTCTAAATTAAATGTTCATTAAGTAAATCAAAGAATTTTTTCTTTACAAGTGAATCTCTAATTTATAGTTACCTTAGGAAATATTCACACAAAGTTATGTTTAATCTACAACAGGGCTGCAACAATGTTTTTGTGATGTAATACCCTGGTACACAGAAAAAAAAAACTAATATTAAAATGCATTACCTGATCACAGGAAAAAAAATGTACGTGAATTACTTGGGTCATGGTGAAGCATGGAAATCTTGTGATGCCGTCACAATACACGAGTGTTCATGAAGCAATCTCCCCCTGAGTGGTCACCCCAGACCATGTGTTAGGGAGGGAGGGAATTATCAGGGGAAAGCACCAAGCCATCTTGACTATAGCACTTGGGAAGGGGTAAGGATTAGGATAAAGATTTGGGATGGGACATGGGGTAAGGAATGGTGCCCAACTACTTGGACGGTCGGGGATTGAATGTCGACCTGCATGAAGCGAGACCATTGCTTTACCATCCAGCCCAAGTGGTTGGGCATGTTGGGAAGGGAGTTGCCCCAAAGATATTTTTACATATTTATTTCAATGTTATTTATTTTATCATTATTAAATGATATTGTGGGCACATGTTGCATGGCAGGGCTGTGAGCTGCTGCCGCATGTACTGCTCATGGTTGCTCTCTCAGTACTGAGGCTCTTAAGCCCAAGACGGGTGCCCACATTTTTTTCAAAGATGGCGTCTGTTTACTTGAGGCATGAGGAGGCAGCTGTAAGCCCCATGCACATATGGAACTTTTACATTTTATGAGGTACAGTACTTGAAAATAGCCCCAACTGCGTCACACGGTTTACGGATAATTAGCATGATCAACTCCAGCTGTGTCACACAGTGGAAGGGTTAAGAACAAGCAAAGAAAGTCTATGTCGAAGTAGAGAAAATGAGCAACAGAACCAATGAAAAATGTCTATCAATAAGGTGAATATCTACCTCCCCTCTCACTTCCTACTTCACACCATTTTATATCCTAAATCAAAACAAAGAGAATAATGTATGAACACAAGCAAAGGCTCAAAATTTTTGGATTTGCCTAATGTTATAGAATTGCAGTAAGCCTACATAAAATTCAAAGCTTAATACAATCAAAGTGTGGGTATCTTATCAATCTACTACTGTATATATAAAGATCACTTGATAAATAATATAAAATTACCCTTTGCCTACCTTTTGCTCCCGAGATGCTGAGTGCACCAGCAAATGTCGTCTTAGTTTCATCCGTCCAATGACGACTTTCCCACACTTTGGACATTTCTCTTGACGCATGTACTTTTTTTCACTGGACTTTGTATGTTTCATTTTTCCTTTAAAATGTGAATATGTATTCTTTACTAAAGTATTTGTCTTATCAATGTTAGTACAGTCTGAAGGTTTGTCTTCTGTATTATTATCGAGAACTGCTCCAGCACCTGAATCACTCTCTTCATTCTTGTTATCCATGATAATTAAGGACACCTTTTGCCTTGTCGTTACCGATTTACTTTTGTCAATATCAACACCTCCCACTAACATATCTTGGCTAACACACTCTAAGGAAGATGATTCAGTATCTAAACATCGTGTGACACTAACACCTGAGCAGCCCTGGGCTCCTTCCAATTTATCATGTTCCTTTTTGTTTAAAATTAATGCATCACCAGTTCCACATTCATTTTGCTTCTTATCATGCTTTCGAGGACGACCACGGCTCCTTTTGGGTTTCTTCTGACTATGGACTCCTTCCATATGTGCTTCTAAAGCCCCTTTAGTTAGGTGCTCTTGATTACAGAGGGAACATACATTATGATTACTATAGCACCCATTAGACTGAGGCACATCAGCATAACGAGGGTTACACTTTATCGTCCTTTTTGAACTGCACCTATCTGATAATTTCTGCAGGAATTTTGATTCTGCATCATGATATTTACCATGACTTGATTTCTCCGATTCTGCTGTATCTTCTAAGCACTCTGAGTTCCTCTCAGTCTGTTAAAGAAAGGATTGAAACAAGAATATTGCATTAACATTATTATTATTATTACTATTATTATATGCTAATTCCAAGGGCAACAGTTATAGTTGTTGTGTGTTGGTTGAGATTTTGTTATCAATTCCAAACCACCGAAGAGTTGCATACTCAAAATATACCCATTCAGCAATAGTGAATTGTTCTAGAGTGCTTATGATTGAAATACTGTAATTTGCACAAATAAAATAGAAGACATGTATCCTAGAGAGAAGGTAATGGTGAGACTGGAACAGCTTGAAACAAAATTTATGAACTGTGTGAGGTTATCAAAAAATAGAACAATTGGCTGTGGTTACCTCTTCATGGTAGTGTAATTATATTTATTACAGATTATTAAATGAACATTTTTAAAACTGACATAATTAGGGAAATGGTACAGGCACCAAATGTTGATGGAGCATAGAATGAAAGATTTAGCTAAACTTAATTACAATTCAAGAAAGGTTGCATAAAGCAAGTCAAATGTAAGTGAGCAAAATGAATATTGTACTGCATTATGAAGCCAGACGACACTAGCCAAAGTAAGTACAATACTTAAATTTAAATCCATTTCTTGTGCTAAATTAAATATGGCAATTTAAATAATATTGGCAGAGGAGCTGAAATGGTCTCAATGCTCTGAAAGTAATGCAGATACATTTTTTACCCCATAGTAATTTACAAAGATAAACCTATATCAGTGAGAATTTTTTATATACTGTACTGTATATGTATTCCGAGAAGAAACTTGTATATTATTTGTTGATTTTCATAAAGTAATTAATACAGTGCTACCTACATATAAATGAGAATGAGCTTCAGTATAGACAATTCGCAGCTGTGCTTGAATTTCGGTGTACTGGTGCAGCAAATGATCCAAATCTTTGATGACATTGTCACATTCCAAACACAGTTTTAGATACCACTGGCCATTTTGGTATTTTTGTAAGCAACTGCTTAAAGCTTTTCTGAGGAAATTAACCATTGTCATCTGCAAAAGAAGAAATTAAGTGTAGAGTTAAATGGAATGTTCCTGTCTGAATGCTACCTCAGTAGTTTCCCTAGTGGTTAAATAAAATACACTTTATGCATTGTTATTAATATTTTTGGAGCTCAATCCCTATTTGTTCCCATCCCTTGCACATTCATTACCCATGGAGTGGTACCCATGGAGGGGTCCTGTAGCACAGTCATTAGTGAAGTTGAATCAACCCAAAAGGTCCAGGATTCAATTCACATGGTAGGATTTTGGCACATTTTCTTTTACTTTTACTCCGGATATAATAATAATTTTAAATCATTTTAACAGTGACAGGAAGCCTGTGAGTGTGTGTATGTATGTGCATGCTGTCCTCCCCCCCACCCCCCCCCCCCACACACACACACACCTACTTTAGCCTTGTATCGACGTCCCCCACGGTGTCGAATTATTGACCCTCCCCAAGATGCAAACCCATAACACTTGTGTATCTCCCTGGTACCTATTTACTGCAAAATAAACAGGGGCATTAGGTGAAAGCGAATGTGCCCATCCATTTTTGTCCTGCCTAGGAATTGAACCTGGGATCCCTGATTGTAAGTAGAGAATGAAGTTAATCGTACAGTACTATGAAACTTTAATTCTGAATTTTAAGCTTTTCTTGAAAATGTAGAAAAAATAATCACAAGCATATTCATTATTACTGATAAAGTGTTGCCGTTTATGATGATTTTATTTCTGCATTACGTACACTATTTGCTGGCATACCTTGGTAAACTCGAGTACATGATGGTTGGTGTATGAAGCTGCACCCACCACTTCAAGACTCTTACAGCAGATGAAACAGGCATCCTCTGGCGTGTTCTCAAATGTACCCATTGTATAATAGCTCTGGCAATATTGTATCTTTAGATTCTGAAAAGAATAAACAATTCCATTTGTAAATTTACCCAAGAGAAACAATTGTAGATACTGTTCCCTCGTTGGAACTGTCCTGAACTCCATCAATGCTTGCATGTATAACTACAAACCCAGACATATTTGTAACATCTGGAATCAAAAATAAAATGGTGAAACAAATTCTGAAGAGAATGCATTAAACTTAATACTATAGTACATGTAACCTATTGTCATATTGGTCTCTCTGCATTGAAAAAAATAATAAAATAAAAGTCGATGAAATGCACTATTTACAATGAAAATAGAGCAGTGCCTGAAATGAAACTCCACTTCTGTATAGACTCGGGGCGCATCCGATCCCATGATCGTCGTCGCCCCTAAATCAACACAACAACACTTCTGTATAGAATCCCATCAATGGATCCATTGTAAGCTTTCATTCATTAGTCACTAACAATTAGGTATTTAGATAATTTTAAAGACCTACAAAACCCGCAGAACCAAAATCTTTAGTTCTCATGGAGGTGAGGCAAGTGTAGGGGACAGTATAGTTCAGTACGGTCCATAGAATTACCCAAATCGACCCAAATCGTCCTAGCATTACGTAAGTAATGAAGAAATATGGTATATTTACTTACTATAATGTTGGTGCTACACATAGAACATGATCAAACCTATTTTTACTCTGAAATAATCTAATTTCATAACGAAATTAGACGTAAATATGTGAGAGGTGACGAAATAGGAAGTCGACGGTCCAAGCGACAATTGTGTGGAGCGACTTATCCAAGATATATGGTCGCCTGGAGAGTGTTTGCTGCCATATCAGCCTCCTGTACACAGTGATCCAGTCCTTTTCGTTCATTGAACACCGAACCCTACACGCCCTCTGATATATTGCTTAATTAACAAATATTCACAAATAAAGATTATATTTGTATATGTTATCAGAAAGGCAGATATAAAATAGTTTTTTGTGAATCCATCACAGAGATTATACCTTATTAGAGAGGAAAAATATTCATACTTTAAACAAGGCTTCATGGCCAACGCTCTCCTTACCGATATGGGAACTATGACCTTCCGAAGATCAATGTTAATTTAATCTAGATATTGTAATAAACGAAGTTTTCTATGTCATCATAAAGACATAAATATAAGCTGCATGTTAATAATTTGGCATAAATATAACTGAATTGAAAGTTAAGATATATGCCTTTTTATAGTTACTTGATGGCTCGCTCAGGGAGTGTGAAGGCCTCCACACAAGCCAATCAATTTTATAATTACTTTGCATATATGCAAAGTAACGCCATAGGTCTTTATGACCCCTTGCAGGTGTAGGGGACGAGCTCACAGGACCTTGCAGGTGTGGGGGTTGAGCTCACAGGACCTTGCAGGTGTGAGGGTTGAGCTCACACGACCTTGCAGGTGTGAGGGTTGAGCTCACACGACCTTGCAGGTGTGGGGGTTGGGGTCACAGGACCTTGTAGGAGTGTTGTTGATTCGTCGTGGGATGGGATGCGCCCCGGCGTACCCGTGATGGGTTAATCTCGAGGCCAGGAACGCCAAGCCAAATCGCGAAACGAGTGACGCCAATCACTATAAACTAATATGCCACACGGCAAATAAACGCACAGACGGGCAGATGATTGGGGAGTCCCAGGAGTCCCTCAGGGGTGACAAGCACCGGCCCCGCCCCACACAGAGAACACCAGGTAGCAAAACCAAAACTCTGCCCCCAACTAAAACGCAAAAAAGTCATCCAGTGTCCTCCGGCAGACCAAAAACCACGACTGACACGGGAGACATCTCCCGTCACGCAGGGTGCAGTCGCACCTCCACAGATCTCCAGTATCAGCTCTTGATACTGGTAATGGCTCAAAAGGGCCACCACTTACGGGCTATTCATGCCCGTGCCACCTTTTGAGTGGCTTAATCTTCATCAATCATCGCGCCTGAGGGCACACCAGAAGCCCACCAAGACCCACCAACCCCCGGCACCTCTCGGCCAAGCCGGCCCCCTGAACCCCGTCACCCCGCTGGGAGAACCAGCCACAACACGCCAAAACAAAAAATCTATGAACAGTCCCGTGATCCAAGACGATATGTGCGCCAGGCGTCGTACAACCGGACCGTTGAAGAGGGATGCCAAACGGCAGTAGCAAAGCCAAAACGCGAAATCAAGACGTGATCAGGCGACTCCCAGGCGGAGGTGGTGTCGAGACGTCCGCTCGGCGTCAAGGTTGAACCAGTCCTTGTAGGTGTGGGGGGTTGAGCTCACAGGACCTTGTAGGTGTAGGGGGTTGAGGTCACAGGACCTTGTAGGTGTGGGGGTTTGAGGTCACAGGACCTTGTAGGTGTGGGGGGTTAAGCTCACAGGACTGCAGGTGTGGGGTTTGAGCTCACAGGATCTTCCAGGTGTAGGGGTTGAACTCACAGGACCTTGCAAGTGTGGGGATTGAGGTTGCATGACCTTGCAGGTGGGGGGGGGTTGAGCTCACAGGACTTTGCAGGTGTGGGATTGAACTTACAGGACCTTGCAGGTGTGGGGGTTGAGCTCTTAGGGCAATACTTTTCTTCTTCCCTGTTTTATGAAGACGGGAGTGAACGTTTGTGCTTCTCTGACCTGATCGAAATGCTATGCATGCTAGTGGCTTTACAAGTAAAAACTAACTCACTCACTATTATATATATATATATATATATATATATATATATATATATATATATATATATATATATGTCGTACCTAGTAGCCAGAACTCACTTTTTGGCCTACTATTCAAGGCCCGATTTGCCTAATAAGCCAAGTTTTCCTGAATTAATATATTTACTATAATTTTTTTCTTATGAAATGATAAAGCAACCCTTTTCTCTATGTATGAGGTCAATTTTTTTTTATTGGAGTTAAAATTAACGTAGATATATGACCGAACCTAACCAACCCTACCTAACCTAACCTAACCTATATTTATAGGTAAGGTTAGGTTAGGTAGCCAAAAAAAGCTAGGTTAGGTTAGGTTAGGTAGGTTAGGTAGACGAAAAAACATTAATTCATGAAAACTTGGCTTATTAGGCAAATCGGGCCTTGAATAGTAGGCTGAGAAGTGCGTTCTGGCTATTAGGTACGACATATATATATATATATATATATATATATATATATATATATATATATATATATATATATATATATATATATATATATATATATATATATATATATATATATATATATATATATATATATATATATATATGTCGTACCTAGTAGCCAGAACTCACTTCTCAGCCTACTATGCAGGGCCCGATTTGCCTAATAAGCCAAGTTTTCCTGAATTAATATATTTTCTCTATTTTTTTTCTTATGAAGTGATGAAGCTACCCATTACATTATGTATGAGGTCAATTTTTTTTTATTGGAGTAAAAATTAACGTAGATATATGACCGAACCTAACCAACCCTACCTAACCTAACCTAACCTATCTTTATAGGTTAGGTTGGGTTAGGTAGCCGAAAAAGTTAGGTTAGGTTAGGTTAGGTAGGTTAGGTAGTCGAAAAACAATTAATTCATGAAAACTTGGCTTACTAGGCAAATCGGGCATTGCATAGTAGGCTGAGAAGTGCGTTCTGGCTACTAGGTACGACATATATATATATATATATATATATATATATACACACACACATACATTCATATATATTATAGGACATGTGTTCAAATATAGACCACTATGCATAATATAAATGTAATTGTCCCCCTATTATTATGCCAACTATTTAAATTACAGTATATTTAAGTTCAATTTAATTGTTTGAATGCAGTAATGCAAATTTCTCACGCAATATTTAGTACGTGTTTGCATTCAACATCTTATCGTTTTTTTTAATATTTTATATAATTAGAGCCCCAAATTTTTCCAATATAAAATTTTATGTCAATATTCTACCATGGTTTGTGCCACAAGCATGATACAAATCCTGTATTAATTTAATTCACTTTAAAGAGAAAGGAAATGTCATATTCAGAGGAGATAATGATGAGCATTTTGTTTTTGCTGCTGGATTTCTTGACAGTCACCACTGCAATACCTACGTAAACAAAAAGTAGGAGAAATCTTAGAATGCTGTCTTGTGGCACTACTGTAGTGTACAGAGAGAGAGAGAGAGAGAGAGAGAGAGAGAGAGGGGGAGGGAGGGAGGGGGGGGGGGGGGGAAGGATTGAAAATATACAGTATTACAGTACATCATTTTTGACTCCCTACTGTAATAGTATAATAATAATAATTTATTTAGGAAAAGTACATACATATGCAGGCGATGAGTCACAATAACGTGGCTAAAGTATGTTGACCAGACCACACACTAGAAGGTGAAGGGACGACGACGTTTCGGTCCGTCCTGGACCATTCTCAAGTCGATCTTTGTGTCATCAAAGTACATACATAGTTGCAGAGTTACAGTACAAACATTGTTTGATTTAAAGATAGCGGTAGTACATATGATACCTAAAGCCACTAGTACGCATAGCGTTTCGGGCAACATGAAACTATGCACATGAAAAGTTTAGTTTAGTTGTCAAGGAATGGAGATATGACCAGATATAGTTGAGAGACAGGGCTAGATTTCATAGTGCTGAAGTTTAAGTAAAGGTTATTGAGCTTTATGGTATGAAAGGCTTTTTATCAATCAATATGGAGCCCAATTAAAAATTCATTTTTGTCAAGTGTATTCTTTGTTATCTGAAGCTGAGCTGGCTGGAATGTAGCATGTTGAATTTTACCAAACAAGAGTACAGCTGTTAGCACAATGTTTACAACAATGTTTACAAATATTTTTTGTAAGGTTAGTAGGTTTGATATTGATCTCTATCACTATATTTGTGCATTTTTTTTTAATCCTAGATACTTGCAGAGCAACTTTCAGTGACTGGACTATCAATTTATCACTACTGTATGTTTTTTTGATATGGTAATGGTGTATAATGCCCGACATACAAGGTCATCATGTTTTTATTTTAAAAGAATTTGCCAGTCTTATTTGTAGAGTTTATGCAGATTGTTATGGAAGGGTTCCGTATTTGTTTCTAGCTTTACCATAAATAATTATCAAAAGAAGGCACCAAGCCGAGAAGACTAATACAGCACAATAGCCTTACCATAGTTTTAAAGCGTTATACGAGGAGTGCACCAGAAGACAAGGCACCACAAGCATACCTCTCATCCTGTAATTACACAGGTAATTATAAGTCAACCACAATATCAAACTATGCATATGAAAAGTAACCCTCTTGCAGCATATAAAATTACAAAGCTCTGCAGTAGTATTGTATACATATATATATATACACACACTATATCTATATGTATATATATATATATATAGACGCACACACAACCCTCCAGATTACCCAAGCATCTTCAAGGCAGTGTCAGGTTAGAGGTCTGTAGGCAATCCCCTATTATACAAAAAGTGTTAGGGGCAATGGGGTCAACATTCCCAATTGCTCATGTTCACCCAAGACTGCCCTCGTTGTATCCCAAATCATTCCTTCATGCCTCCAGCTTTTAAGAAAACTAGTGAGCACATTTTAAAATATAGTCATTGTTAATTTTCCCAAGTCATTAGTTCTGTTTTAAATTGGTCAAATATAGTAATGTTTTAGTCCAGAAAGTCCAAGTGGCAAGCTATATCCAACAATTTAATACTTAAACTGCTTTAAATAGGTACAGTATGTCATCAATTCAATGTTCATGTAAATTAAAAAGCTGGTAATTGCTTAATTTTATTAAGAAGCTGTTTATAAGGATATGTTATACAATATTGCAATAAATAAATTGTTTGCCCTATCTAAAGCACATAATACAAAGGGCTATCAAACAATAATACGCATTAACTACGACTGACAAGAACATTTAAAAGGAACAGAGGCATTAGCAACCAGCTGTGCAAACATATGCACTTAAATAATTACAATGCCCTGTGATACCTTTCATTGGCATTTTATAGCAAGATTACTGCTGCCAGCAAGTTACCCAATGTTCTCATTATGAGTCATACAGAAATTGGGATTAAAAAACTATTAAAGTTTTACTTATGTCTAGCTATAGTTACAATATGCAGTAAACATGCTATTTGGAACGGTTTACAAATGAAAGCCAAGAAATCTTATTCAACTATGTAACTAATCCTTACATTTACACTTATTTCGATTAAATATTTTTATCGGTGCAAGATGCAGGAGGGCATGGGTAAGACTGGCATAGGTGGGCACAGCTGGGGCTCCCACAGGAAGGACAAGCCTCGGGCTGTCCTGGGCCGGGTTCTCCTTCCATAAATGCATTGGCTGGTTACCGCTGCCTGAAGCCGCGGGTATAACACCAAGAGCAAAGAGGCTGCTGGAATTACCTTTAGGGCATAATCCACAAGATACAACAGATAGTATATTGTAAAACTTCACGATAATCTTTCACGTTCACATACACAATTGAACTTTAGGAGCACCAAAGTTAACCTAAATGTATAAAAAGGCCCTTGCATTTAAGAACAGTGAACTTTCAATTTTAAGAGCAAATTTAAAACTCATGGTTAACAAAGCAGCAGGAAAATAACAGGTGAGAATGTACATCTGTGCCAAGCTAGTGAAAGCACAAGCAGAAAATTTTTTCAAGTAACTGACCCATGACGTGTTACACGCCACGTTAACACCAGGCACTAATGTGCGGCTTATCGCAAATGATTCGGTTCAATATCCAGTTTTAACCAATACAAAAATTCACATTAAACAGGACATCAATTAAACCAAGATCCACCTGTACAATCAATCTGAAAAATCAGGCCACCAGCAGCCAATGACTAATCAAGAATTTTTTCCAAGTTACTGACTGGGCAAACTTGTGTATAATGCTGGAGTGGATCTATCGCAATTATTTATAAAATCATAAAGTACTAATATTTAAGTTAATATCTATGCATCTAATTTGTCTCCTTACGCTTTACTTTTAGAAATCAACACTGACAGTCACAAGTAGAAATGGTAAAAAAGTAGAATTAAGTACAAGTTATCTGACTTAGCCTAGAGACATGTGGAAGCAATATAAATTTTTGTATCTACATACAGCATCACTATCAGCAGAGCTAATTGTACAAAAATTATACAGAAGAAAATACTTTGGTTGTGCACAATGATAATTGTATGAACATACATCTCCAATAACGTTTGGCAAAAGCTATGTAAATGTTTTTTTGCCACGGGTATATATTTCATCCGAGTATTTCCTATTATTATAGTGACCTCCATTAAACACTGAATAAGACTACACATTCTACCTAATATTCGACTGTCAATACTTTCAAGTGATAAAAAAACTAGTTAATAGGAATACAAGTAAAAAAATTGAATTAATAATATATTAATTGGGCATTCCATAATGAAGAAACTCTTACACATCAATGAATGAAAAAATCCATCTTACTAACTAGTGAGCGATACCATTCAGGACACTTAATAATAATATTGGATGGGGTATCTCCAATCTGGCTCGTAACTTTCGGTGTATCTTAGCATACCTAACCTACAACCTTACTATTACAGACAAATTTGTTGCCGATGATCGATTCACGTTTTAAAGTATCGAAACTCAGCAAGATAAGAATGGGGTTTAATGGGTTTTTACCCAAGTTGGTTTTCTTTTTACCCATTAGGATAATCACACCTTAAAATTCCCACAGTGTGGCATTTGAAGGATCAGTGTCACCTAGCTTAAACCCTCCATTCTTTTCTGTGACAATGTATTGACCTGAAGAATTCTTCAAACACATTCGAGTAGCCTCACGAAGCTCTATGAAAAATCCTTCAGGAACCTCTGAATCAGCCATGATGCCATCACCGCAGGCATGCCAGTACCCACCTTGCTGACCTGAAACAAAGGAGAAGACATTAAATTTATTACTACAGTCCAGAGGTTATACCAAGTCATAAAAACTTTGATCATGGCCCAAGAAACTCTTTAATAACATGAAAGTGTGTATAAATCTCAGGTTTCCAGAAAGCTGCATTACACTTCAAGATACATTTTACTTTAAACACAGTACCAGCACTTGTCAAGTGGAAATGTTGGGACAGACTTCCCACATAAGCAGTATTATTGGTGTAATTAGTTTTAAACATGTTATAGTCAATTATAATTTCTCCACTGAAAATGTGTCAACACTTCTCCCTGCTTAGTTCATATTTAATGCCATGGCAGTGCAAAGTACATAAACCACCCCTCACTATATGAACAATAATTATGTAATGCCCTTTATTTTCCTATGAACAGCCATTCCAACTTATTGCATCATGCCTCTTTACCTTACCAAGTACAACATTAAAATATCTAGGCTTTAGCCTTGACAAGGGAAGTGTTTTGGCACAAAATGAACAATGCATCCACACTATAGAAGTGATTAATTACAACATCTGCCAAGAACTACATTACCCTCCTTCACTTTGCTGCTAGTCCTGTATGATAGGAGCCTTGAAGACAATTTACCATTATTTTGAGCCAACGAGTGAACCTTCAGCCAATCACAGGCCTTCACCACCTCCCACATCAAAGTCCTGCTTCCTCCTTATTGGTTAACTTTTGTCATCCACCTTGATCAGACTGCCTTCTGCCGTCTCCATTTTCCCCCAAACTCTGATTTAGCCCTGCACCAGAAATGACTCAAACCTGGTATCATCACAATATAACCTTCAGTTTACCTTGAAACCATGCCATACCTCTTGTGATGGTACAGTGTGTTCAAGAATGGGAATGGGGGGGGGGCCTTCAACAAGCAGCCGGCTTCCTGTCTTTGTCGAGGCCACTAGGGTTTGTGGCCCTGTAGTATATCAGGTAAAATACCAGGTTAGGATGGAGGTTATGATTGGCCTGAGGTTCATAACAGCATGTGGGCCCGAGAGCTGCTACAACGAACAACTTTATCGAACATGTTATTCCCAAACAAGTCTGGACCCCAGGCTGGGCTTTAGGAGTAAGATGACTAAACCGATTAAATTATAACTACAGGCAAACGTCGGCACACATGTACATGGTACACTTTTTTTTGGCGCTACTGTAGTTTGGATTACAAAACAGACTGCATTGATATGTTCTCTATTCAGTATCTCGTATAAAGGTGGATTATCACCTCCCAGATGCAAAGGTTAACTAATCCAATGACTTGGCCAACTGAATAAGTACCATTTACCAAACCTGATTTGTTAGCAGATATTCTTAATCTTATGAACTAATCAACTACAGTACTACCATTAGTGAAGTATAAACATACCTCTGAAGAAGACTTGACCCTGCTCTCCTCTTTCTACTTTGATGGTTTCATAGTTTGCCTTGTTGGATTCCATTTTAAGACTGTTTGATGTCTTGTAACCTACAAAGCCTTGTTCACACTTTAATACCAACACTGGCCTGAAATGAGAAGTATATTGTCAATTTACAGTGCTGATTATGTAAAAAATAAAGCCAAGTCAAATCACAAATCATACCACCAATACATTAGATAAAGATTGACTTTTGATGCACACGTACCCACTGGGTGTTTAATGTATGGGGAACACTATTGTGCTTCGGAAATTTTATGCTGAAATGCTTTTAAAATCTTAATTGCAGGCACACCTTTTTGAATTGTGCCCGAATACTATAGCTCAACTTGGTCACTGGTCTGACATCTAAACCTCTTCTATTAATTAAGCCTCTGGGGATTTAATACTGTACTTTATAATTGGCACTTAATTGGCAGTGATACTGATGCAGTATCAAATTAATTAATATTGTACATTAGGAATATGCCCTGTATTTGTTCCAGTTAATGATTAATCTTTTCTTGTTTGTGTCTGCAGGTACTGTATATCACTTCTTATTGGTGTCACGAAATCTATTTTTTTTTTTTTTTATTTCTAATACTGTCTTGGGATTACCTTCCAATAATACCAAAGATTCTATATTAACAAGGCACCAATAAAGCTTTGAGTCACGATAGATTAAAACTACACGCATACCTGTTTATCAAATAAAAGTAGAAACGAGCACTTCCTTCATCTGGAGAATCGGCATTGGCAAACAAGTGACCCGACTTCTTGGTAGCAATGTACTTTCCATTGTTTGCTTGGAAGGCAACAGACCCATCTGGCTGCCACTGGAAGTTGAAGAGTGCATTGGATGTCCTAGGGAGGGTGCGGGGAAAAAAAAAATGAACACCACAAAGTACAATAAACCTATTCTAAATAGAACAACCTTCCCTTTACCAAATATCTAGCAAAATCATTTGTTCACGCAATTTTTTTTCCATAATCAGGAAAAATATGCTTGTCTTTAAGGGGGGCAGGTCCTTAATCCTAATTTTCCCCTGGAATACAACTTGCCAAATCATTTCACCAGGTACCCATTCACTGCTGGGTGAACAGAGGCTACAGTAAAGGATTGGCACCCAGTTGATCCTCCCCAGCCAGAATTAAGATGTTCATTCAACAAAAATATCTAAATATGCATACTGGTTGAGGTTATGATAATTGATCCAAAGGTGGATAGGGGGGACAAATGACAAAGTTCCTAAATTAAGAGTGACTCAAAACTTGAGCAAGGAAAGGACATATCACAGAATCCACAGTATAAACATTCATCGTGTGAAATGGATGCAGCTACATGTTTATGAATTCTTTGATAAAACACTTGCTCTTCCAGAGCGAGCGCTCCACCTTTCCTAGTACTGTAAGTAATTTTGGACGTTCCATGGGAGCGTGTGGTAATACTGAAAGTGTATACTTTTTTAAACTGTCACCTTAATTCTCTTCCTAGGTTTTTCAATTTTGTATCAATGTGTTCGCAATAGAATGCTCTATAGGACTAAAAGCATGTACACCCCAAAAGTCCGGCGTACCACCCGCAGCAAACACAAAGTGAGAGCGAGTTACCCGGAAGCGCACAGGATCGATAAAATGTGAACACGTTTCACTTTGGTCACCTCAATTTTCGTCCTAGGTCTCATTTTGGTATCAATGGGTTCGCAATAAAATTCCCAGCAGGAGTATATGCATATAATGTCAAACCGTGGCGCGCTCCACCCGCCAACATGATGAAAGCAGGCCGCGGGTACCCTGAAGAGTAGGGAGGCGCGCCGGCCTTCCATTAGAGAGCGTGGCAATACTGAAGTGTGTACTCTTTTCAACTTTATTTTAATTCTCGTCCTAGGTTTTTCAATTTGATATCAATGTGTTCGCAATAGAATTGTCTACGCGATTAAATACATGTACCACCCGCACAAAACAGCGAGAGGATGTTACCCGGGAGCACTAAAGAGCAATGAAATGTGTACACACTTCACTTTGGTCACCTCAATTCTCTTACTAGGTCTCATTTTGGTATCACGGTTTGCAATAGAATTCTCTACAGGAGTATATGCATATATATAGTCCAAAAGCCCGGCGTACCACCCACAGCCGCCGGAACTGAGAGGATTGAGCTACGAGGAAAGGCTAAAGGAGCTGAACCTCACATCCCTGGAAAACAGAAGAGTAAGGGGAGACATGATAATCACCTACAAAATTCTCAGGGGAATTGACAGGGTGGACAAAGACAAACTCTTCAGCACGGGTGGGACACGAACAAGGGGACACAGGTGGAAACTTAGTACCCAGATGAGCCACAGAGACGTTAGAAAGAATTTTTTCAGTGTCAGTAGTTAATAAATGGAATGCACTAGGAAGTGATGTGGTGGAGGCTGACTCCATACACAGTTTCAAATGTAGATATGATAGAGCCCAGTAGGCTCAGGAATCTGTACACCAGTTGATTGACAGTTGAGAGGCGGGACCAAAGAGCCAAAGCTCAACCCCCGCAAGCACAATTAGGCGAGTACAGCAAAAAGTGTGACAGCGCGTTACCCCCATGAACGCTCAAGATCAATAAAATGTGTTTACTCTTTTCAACTTTGTTACCTCAATTCTCGTCCTAGGTCTTTCCTTTTGGTATCAATGTATTCGCAATGAAATTTCCTACAGGAGTATATGCATATAATGTCCAAAACCGCGGCGCGCCTCTCCCGCATCCTAGCCGAAAGCAGGCCAAATTTTATTTTATATTTTTGACTCCATACTTCGTCAGTAGTGGGCAAAAGTGTTCGTTTTGTGTAGTTGGATTCCTAGCAAGTCTCCCTACCACCTAAATGGAGAGTACAATGATATTTTACATGCTTAATGAAAAGTGACAAGATTGCAATATTTACTTCAAGTGTTAAGCCTAAAAAGTGACACACACGAAAGCCAATTATAAGTGGACTTTTACTAAAGAGCACATACAAAAGGTAAGGGGAAGGAGATACTGTACTTAACATTTCAATTTAAGGAACTAAGGCAATGTATAAACCATATTTCTCAACACTTGTCATCGCCCCCCCCCCTACTTTCAAAAGGGAGAGCATAAATATTAATCTACTTTACACAGTATTATAATACTACTATACTATGTAAATGTACATGCCTGAACACCAGTAAGGAAACTGCAGCATAAGTATGCTAATAATTATGCTAATCGCATGACTAACAAAGATGGGGAAGAAAATTACTATGAATAGTGCAGGTGATGAGTCACAATAACGTGGCTGAAGCATGTTGAGCAGACCACACTAGAAAGTAAAGGAACGATGACGTTTCGGTCCGTCCAGGACCACTCAAGTTTATTGTGAGATCGATTTCACAATCGACTTGAGATTGGTCCAGGACGGACCGAAACGTCGTCGTCCCTTCACTTTCTAGTGTGTGGTCTGGTCAACACTATGAATAGTGATTGTAAAGGTAATTAATGTTTATTATGAATTATAGTACTGTACTGCAATAATACTTACGGTTTAGTGGCATTAGCCTGAATACCGCCACCGGCCTCTAGCGTCCAGTACTTGTCCTGCATGGTGCGTACATACCACCTCTTGGTGGCTCCGTCATACTCCAGCTGGAACTTCTCGTGGTCAGAGATCTCCTCCTGGTTGGCCGTCACGTCAACACCTGCAGATTAACAACACTGTCTAGCAAGTCCATCTCTATAATGCTAAAATACCAATCTATCGCAAAATTAAAATTAGTTTTGTAGCTAAATCTAGAACAAACTAATTTGGGATTTTTTTTTTAATTTAATAATAACTTCAGGCCGAATTTATGCCATGTTAGGCCTAGGTTAGGGTTTACAGATTAGTTTTAGTAAATTCATTTTTTTAGAGTCAACTGTTTATTTGGAAACTTTTCAAGGTCATAGATGAACACCACAAACATGAGGATGCACTTTTTAAAAAGCAGCTACGACCCCCTTCAGGTCTAGCTGTGATGCCCGACAACCAGGTTACACCTGCTCTGGTATAGTCAGGTTGTGACTGCACTCAAGACCTTGAGCTAATTACCGAGGCTGTAGTGATAAATTATGGCATGAATTATGTCATGCCCACACGATTTATTTCCTTAATTATCCTATTTGCTAAAAATGTATTGGATTTTCTCACGTTTCCCTTACGACATTGTGAAGATGTTCAAAGTTTAAACTTTAAAAAAATTGAACAATCTTTAATTGAAAGTTGACAATCTAGCATCAATTTCATAACCAACTCCTATTTCCTTTAGTTTCATGTAGAGGCCTATTTTTTTACAATCACTTAACTATACAAATACTATTAACCAACTCCGGTATACTACAGTTAGGTTTCTCCTGTAAAGTGCCGTTCCCCCCCCCCCTCCCATACTTGGTAAGTAGTAGACTACCATTTGTTATAAATAGTCAGCAGCAAAGATCAGCCCCGGAGATACAATATGTTTTATTACCGAGGGAGGCGAGACGCGCGTCCTGAACCCTGACAAGACGCCGTGACAGGAAATACATGTCGATAAGCCGCCAGCTGCTCCCATCCTCCCCCTCAACACTCACACTAAAGTCTATATGTATATATACATATGGAAGCTGATCAGAATTGCATTTCACCTTTGTAAATGCACATTAATGACACTTCGAACATGTATTTATTTACGTATGTAGGTTAGCTTAGCATTTTAAAAAGCACCGAATCACCTTCTGTGGTTGATTGTTCAATAAATCCCTGAACTATATGTTTAACAGATCTCTCACCCTGTCCATGGAGGACAGAAGAAAATGTACATGTGCTCGTTAGCATTGTGAATGTGTGGCCACGTCTGTGGTAGAAAAAAAAACTGAAGTCTATCACTTGAGCAGTCTAACTCAATAATACGAATACTTTAAGTATGAACAAATCTGCTTCAATTTCATTCTTTGGTACACTTCATTTTCGTTGAATATATCACCCTTTAAAGTTGGGTCTTGAGAAGTGCCGACACGCGCTTTTAAAGACAGTATTGCAATTTGTACATTTTTCGTGAGATTTAGGTGCACTTTTTTTCCCGGGGGTTAGAGAACTTGCAATACTAAATCCAAATAAATGCCTTCCTAAAATCATGATGCTACATAACCTACGGTTATATAAACTAAGAACCCAACCATTGATGGTACAACAACGGCCTTACCATACTAGTGTAAAGGAGGAAATGTATGTTTATCTCTCAATGTTTGGCAATATGTTTATTGCTTGTGATGTGTGTATGTATGTATTAACACTATGTACTTAACGGGGTGAGAATAGTTTGAGCTACCTTATCCCTTTGTGTGTATTTTACCTCAATAAACTTCTTTCAATTTCAACAACGGCCTGGTTCTTGCGGGTCACCGTTCGGGCCACGACGGTGTAAGTGGCTGGGAACCTAACCTAACCCTTTTATCCCTGCTTTTGTCCCGTCATCTTCATGTGCTATACAGTTATACTGCCTTGGCGTTTTCTCCCGACAATTATCTTAGGAGGGAAACCAGTTCTTGACACTGAAGAGACCTTCATAGCCTCTGGACACTGCAACCAAACTGGAAACTGCTACATGGGAGAACATTTACAGTTCTTAAGGTATCTTGGGAGCAACAGGGTGTAATATTAATACATGCAGGACAAGGGGACATCCTGTATGAAGGGGACGCTGCCCAGTAAACTAGCCCCTCTAGGGGAGGGGGAGGGGTTTAGTATAATTATAACAAGGTTATTTTTCTTTGTAGTGTGTAGCCCCTCACCTACGGAACAAGTCTCTGCAAAACGCACTTCAAAAGATTTGCCGTAAGCTTACCACTTCTTAAAACATTAAAAACCTTGCTAATCAATAGTTCCGAAATACATTAACACCTTTGAATGGGTCGCAAAGGAACACGCCGCTAAAGTGTGCTCCTTTTTCTCTGACTTATAGTATTGCACCAAATTTTAATATACTGCAGAAATTTTGGTTAACTACGTCACCACTAGTCCTAGGGTGGGAATAGACGCTGACAAGTGTATTTACTGCTACAGGCTTTCGCTGCTATAGCCACCTTGCAAACTTTGCAATACTACACAAAATAAAAAACGCGAATAGTTGAGTAGGTCAAGTGAAAGGCCCCTGGCAGCCCGTGTTTACCTGGGTGAGAGTGAACCAACTTCCGGCGTGTTTCCCCAGAACATTCTAACAAAACCAGTTGCTGAGCAGCGTGCACCTTCCCATCCAGCAAGATGTCTTCCCGACGCTCCCATTCAACGCATGCACCACCACCACAAACTTCTCTCCCTATCTTAAGCTGGCTGTATGTGATCAAATAAGGGCATTGTAACAAACCTAAGCACACTAGCTCCTGTCCCCGTTAATCATTATGGTAGAGACTGGCATGATAAACTGAAGCCATAGCACCAGCGTATGCTTACCCCTGAAGCATTCAGGTGCATGATTATACCTGAAGCATTTAGGTGTATGATTACACCTGAACTTGTCTGGGGAAAAAATGCGACTATTTACAATGCGCGCGCGCACAACTAGTGGTTGTGTACACAAGCAAGAGGGTGACCTAATTTCTCTATAAACACTTGTACCGCCAAGTCTATTAACCATCTGGAACGACATACTTGAAACTAACGTCACAGATTAAAACAAATTGGTTAGGGCAGTGTTGGCCCTCAGCAGCTAACAAAGCCAGCGTTATTTCCCCCGGCGTTAGACCCGACGGGTGAGCCTGATTTCAAGGAAGCCACCAAACAGGAAATTCTACGAGGGATGACTACATCAAAGATAGTCAATATCGTGAATACGTCACTGTTCTTCAATACCAAGATTCACTTTCCTGCAATAAGACACTACACAAACTAATACCTTGCGATCAACCGTATCTTGTTTCTATAGCTCACAAAGCAAGATTCCACTAACCCTTCTGGCCCATAAAGAGTTCAGTTATATATATATACTAAGTGCGGCACATGATTTGCACACCAATATGCACACCGAGAGGCCTTGGCTGGGTTACCGCCATGAATGTTTTCCGCTACGCTTTGAAGGGCTTGAGCCAGGGCAGACTCGCACAGCCATGAAGGCGTGGGCCAGGTGCAGCAGCAGACACGCGGGCTGGGCCAAGCCATGAAGGCGTGGGCCAGGTGCAGCAGCAGACACGCGGGCTGGGCCAAGCCATGAAGGCGTGGACCAGGTGCAGCAGCAGACACGCGGACTGGCCCAAGCCAACCACGTGGGTTTCCCACACCCACCGTCTCCACTGACCACCTGTTGCGCTGACTCATGCTTTGCTCTTCCAGTACGCTAACTTAATATTTGCAAATGCACTGCCTTATGCAGATGTAACTGCTAACAATAGCTTTACATATTCAAGATACCGTTAGTACTATTATCAATCATTTCCCAAGCTGAAAATGAACAAGGACATATATACTATACTATTAAACCAATAGCAATGACGTGTAAACAAACCCATTTACAATTGTCACCAGTCCGGCGCTATAGTGACTTCAGATCGCAAAATACTCAGAACGAAGAATGTCTCAAATATTAAAGGCAATAAGGTAATACTGCGTTTAAAAAGTTTAGAATTAGGCCATATTCTTTATTTACAGATAAACGAGAATAATGGGGTAGAACTTTTTAACAAAGGAGAACACTTAATTGCAGTCCCTGTGGGGCAGTGGTAACACTATCCCCGCGAGCGATTTGGCCTGGGTTCGTACCCTGGCCGAGGAGGATTGACGGGGCGCCAATCCTTAACTGTACGCCTCTGTTCACCCAGCAGTGAATGGGTACCTGGTGGTTAAACCGATTTGATGGGTCGTATTCCAGGGAAAATTAAGATTGAGGACCTGCCCGAAATGCTACGAGTGTTGGTGGCTTTACAAGAATGCAATATGCTTTGTGTATAACATTTAACCAAAATTTTTAGCTTGGTAAATATTGGCATGACAAGAAATTTACAATTGCTTTGTTTATTCTTTATACATAAAAGGAACAATAGGTTGTGAAAATACCTACTTCGGCGATTAAATGCTTTATTCCTGCAGAGGCACTAACACATTACTGTCCCATTCACCTGGGTTGTGCATGGTGTGTCCGTGTAACTCATTCCTCTCATTCATACTCATTCCTGTCAGTGTAACAATTATGATGACCGAGTGGGGGGTAGAAATAGCCTAAGCTACTCTATCCCTTTGAGATGTATTTCTTCTCAATAAACATACTTGAACTTGACCGAGTACATCTATAAACTTGCTCAACTGTCCAAGGTAAATTTAAACTACAAAAACTCTTCAATTTAAACGCAACACTTGAAAACTTTACAAATTGTAATTTCTTTAACCTATCCATGTACACAAAATTCACACATTTAATGTGTATTTTTGACGATAAATAGCCGATGGGGGTTGAAGGAGCCGAACTTATAACAGTGTCCTGCTAGCCTGTGTCCCGCCCACTACCAGCACCAGTGACGCCCCTCCATAACCAGCACAAATACGCCACTTCCTTCCCTGCAAGAAAATACTTCAGGGAGCAGGCGAGGGACGAGGGTGGAGAAGAGGGGGAGGAAGTAAGGGGGGAGTAGTGAGATCATCGTCAGCTGGCCTGGGGGGTTATGGCGGCTGGGACACGACCCTGGGGTCGGGTTACTC